GGAGTCCCGACATTTTTCTGCTTCCTTGCCCTGGACAGAGATCGATTTTGGTTCTTCGTAGTCCTTTTTTTCCCTTTTGCTCATCCTGATCATCTAATCGGAAGGTGTGTCTTGATGTCACCAGATGAAAAATAATATTTTGCTCCCTGACGACTACGCGTTAACGAGTGTTTGATCAGAAATTAATTAATTAGTATTTTGGTCGGAGAAAGTAAAAAATTTTAATTATGAGGAATGCGAAATTTCTTTTTTGCAAAGGTAAGAGGCACTTTTGAAAATTACTTTTTTTTTAAACATTCGACGGGACTTTAAGTTCTAGGTGAAATTTTTATTTGTATGCGAAATTTTTTTTTTACGAGACATTCGCCTTCTTCGAATTTTCACTTTTCACACTTTCTTCCTGGTAGCGAAGTGTTTCATCGACACGAGGAAACTGAGAGGGAGGCTCCTTTCTTCGCAATGGAAAAACTATAGAAGGTCAACTCGACCGAAGATTCTTTTCTACCACTCGTTACTCCTCGGGGAGTACGAACTTTTCTGGAACCTTTTGAACTTTCTTTTTTTTTCGAACGTTTTTTTTCACTTTTCGAGTGACTTTTACCAAATATTTTTTTTACGTTAAATACTCTAACTCGCTACGGGTATTCTCGTGCGTTTAGTCGGGAACGTTAGCTCAATTAAAATCATCGCTAAGTTTTCTCATTAAACAAAACCCTTGAGTCTCTTTGTTTTTTCTCTTGACGCTGACTCCAGGAAGACAAACCAGATACTTCCCTGCTACCTGATAGTCATTGAACGGCCTATCGTTTTCTTCTGGTACAGTTGCTAATTCGCTTATCGACCGAGTCTCAAACTTACCCACGTTCTCAATTATTGACTCATCTGTTTTTCCTGCTAACTTCTATCTGGTTCATATAGGATCTATATACATACTGGGTGTCTCAAAGACCTTCTACATAGTATGTATATGTATACTGAGTGTAAAGTTCAAATTGCAAATTTAAATTGCACTTTTCGCATTTGCGATATAACGAGAGTGCTTGGCTGTGTCTAGACAAGTAGGTAAAGTGATTTATTTACGTAATTAGTATATTAAAAGACGAGTCCAGCTGGTAAACAGATAACGAAAATACGTTTTGTCTCTGTAAGGAATAACAAGGTGAACAATGCTCGAGGTGATAAATTATATGGAATTTTGTAAATGTGCGATAATATTCATGAAAGTGGTACAGGGTGATTCATTGAGCATCGATTAACGTTCCTCATGAAAGACTTAGCAGACGTATTGAACGCCGGGGGCACCGATGATCATTTACATGGATCCCTGTAAAAGGACAAAAATTACCACCTGTCATTATGGTAGTAGTGCTCTTTTTTTGTTTATGAAACGCCTGTTTCTAAATGCCTGGAACTCGTTTAAATGCTAGGGACTTTTTTTGTCTTTTTTTAAATGTCTTTACCGTAAAGTCGTTTGAACGATTAAGCCTGGAGAATTATGGTACATCGAGGGATTTGGGGATAAAAAATACTAATAATGTTGAAAATTAAACAACTTATTGTTTTTCTTTTCTGAGTGTGATTTCGAAAACACGTGAAAATTATCATAGTGAAATGTTACGTCGGCTTTGATTGTCACTCGAAGGGAAGGGGGTGACTAGGAGATCGATAAATTTTTGGGGAATTTTATGAATTTCTAGGAGCGCATCTTGTAGTTGGATAATCGAGTCATTTTCGTGAGCGTAGATGTAATTTTGTAAAATTTTATCTTGACAACGTGCGTCTGTAAGTTTGACCATAATTTATATAAATTTGTTGAATTCGTTAAACGCTCTTTCGTTACGTGATAATTAATCATTGGCGGAAGAACGTGCCTCGATATTTCCCGTAAGATAGGACACGATTTCCCAAGCGAAAGTTTTCGTGGGGTAGAAAATTTGAATATTTTCAAAAACGTGACATTGCCGCAAAACTAAAACTTGCATGAAAAAAGAATTTCACCAAATTTTCTTTTAATTATCAATTTCATACGAAATTTTAAATGAATAATATATTTCACGATATCTATTACGCTCTTGATAAGATTCACTTTTTTTTTTTTGGATAATCCAGAAATTTTGATAATTCATGTTGAGACTTATCAAAGAGACTTAAAAATCCATGTCCCGTCTTTACTACAGCTCCGTCGCTCTAGTATTCGCTCTTATTTGACTTCAGTCGTCCGTAAAATTAGGGACGATTGACCCAGCTTAACTCCTGACTCGTATTCAATGGCTGAGGAAAGCGCGACAGCGATTCCAACAGAATTTCCACACTGGCGCCATCTCTCGGCTAAATAAGTGACCGACGATTTGTCGTCCGTCGCGAACAAAGCTTCGAAAAAGTGCCGTTGGCTCAAGGTGAGGTTAGTCTGAGAGAATTGCGCGTCCCTCTTCGTCGTCTTCTGTTGTTCGATACACAAAGACCGAACAAAAGGTGCTTTTCGATTTTACTGTTTATTTCTCAACGAGGAGCTACGACAGAAGCTCAGAGCAACGTGTCATTTGTCTCGAGCACAATGGCGCCAGTGTCGTTTTCAATTACCATAAAGTTCAACTAGTGCTTTTTTCCTAGTCCTCCCCCCGCCGCCCCGGCCCCTGGTTATCCCTGTGCTTATAAAAATTTTCATTCCACTCTAATCAAGGTCAAGAGGAAAAGCTCGCCATCGGCGTAGACCCTAGTGAAAAATGGTATTTCGCGAATCGCGTCTTACCACGTCAAAATTTTCAAGCGGAATAAGCTGCGAAATTTCCTTTTTCCAGTTCGTTGCAAGTACGCACGGAGCGGAGACCTCGCGGCGCTCGCACTTTACTACCAGTCGTAAAAGCTTGAGAATAGGGAGAAGCTTTATTCATGGGTAAGAGAGCTTCTGTCGTTACGAATAGCCAGGCTTCTTACTACATGTCGATTTAAGAGTACTTTTTTTTTTTAAACCGATTACTGCGTAAGTTGTTTTTCTCCTATCCCCCCCCCCACTCCTCTCTGCCCCTCTGCCAAATTTCAAATTTTTGTGATTTTTCAAATCACAAAAATTCTTCAAAACTGCTTTTAAAGCGTCCGACGAGTTTTCTCGTCCGAGTGACGTCACCTTGTGTTTTCGCATTTCTCAGAAAGGTTAATTCACACCGAAGCCTTACAGTCGGTACACCGTTTCCCTCCATCCTCGTGGTAAGTATTTCCCTCTTGAGTTGTCAACCCTCCATCCCAGGCCAGTCCCTTTTATTCACTTTTACTCCATCGCAGAATCCTTTACGAGGACGTCTCGTCGTTGTCTTCGCACTTAAAGGATGCTGCGCTAGACACCGTTATACATATATACGCACATTATTATTATACCTCACATCATTCGCACGATATAACCCATATAATAAAAACGTCCGGATACTTATAATTGATATTTTCTCAAAGCGATTGACACTCGAACCTTTGGTCAAAAAAAAAAAGACAATAATTTGTAACGAATCGTGTGCAATTGTCATTTTCTAAGTGATTTGCTCCAGTCTGCAAAAATTCTTAGAGGGTTCATGCGATGGAAAAAAAGGAATGGATAAAATTTTGGTTAATCATTAAGATCGAAGATTTTGCATAATATTCGCTATCCATGTAACATCCAAGTTGAACCGCAGAGGCTCAGCAACGTTTAATGCGCTCGTTGTCGCTCGGTGCAGTCGTTGCAACTGCAGCACGTTTCTTGATCATTTGAAATTGCACGTGCAATAACGTAAGTGCTATTAATTAAGTGCACATGCGTAAATGAAGTTGTTCGACGTGAAACACTTAGCCGGAGTACGTTCTTGGAAAGTGGAGCACACGTGGCGCGCGTCTGCTGTCTATTATAAAAGTCGAATAGAACTTTTTACGGGAATCGCATCTCTCAGACTTGGACGTTCAGCACGGATGACGTTCAGGATGGATGCCAATGTGCGAACTACTTGGAAGACTCAGGCTTGTATCTGGCGCAGCTACAACCGTGCAAATTTTACAATTAATAGTTTGGTGAAAATTATTATTTTTTTCTCAAAGATCGTAGGGGCTCGGTGAGAAAACTTTTTTTCCTAACGAAGCGAACTTTTGTTATTTTCTTCTTATTCGCGACTTTCAATGGATCGCTTGCAATAATAAAATTTTATGATTGTCAAATAACAACTTTCAAGCGTGAATGTTGAATTTCTCTTATTTATTATTATTTTTCCCGAGAATATCACTGCGGCCAAATATAAGACCATTGAGGAAAAAGACTGTTTCGTGGAAACCCGTGAAAAATATCGTCGTGAATAGTATCTACTATTATATTTATTTTTTTGATTTCTTTTCCTTCGCCAAATAAAATACAATCGATCAGTCCCACCACCCTAAAACCCATCTCCATTTGCTTTGCTTTACATTTCATTCGCTCGTATTTCAAGCCCAAGTACAAATATTAGCATAAGCTTCGCGAGCCTGCCAAATTAGTATGCGATACTGTAATTGAGATTTTTCCCGTCTTCCCAATTCATTGCCGTCCGCTTAATAGAGCCCGAGTTGATGGAGACTTTCGTCGAGGTTAAAAATTGCAAATACAGCCAGTCGCTAACCCACTGGTGTCAGTTATACGAAATATTCAAAATTTTTACGAAATTCCACAGTTCCTTGTGAATTAGTTAAATAGAATATATTCTCACGTTAAACTCGATCGAATGAAATTTAACGAATAATCATCCGCAAGCTTTCGACCTTGTTACTTTATACATGGAAAATTCATTTTCATTAATGCAAACCAAAACGACCCCTCAAACCCAAAACGACCCTTGCGGTTGCCGTTAAACCCTCAAGGATAATCCTTTCCTTTATATCCATATGTCCGCGTGTATCGTGGCTAAAGGGGATTCCAAAATTATTTTCCAAATTTTCGTACCGGGATCCACCTTATGCTGAAAGAAAAATGTCAGTCACTTAGTAAAATAATATTTTCATGCTGCCGACAGATGCCCGGAAACACGACAGTCGGTAGCACCGTCCAAGAGGAGGAGCTCCGTCGTATTATTGCGGAACGCGAAAGAAAGTGCATGGAGCAGCTGGCTAACAACACGGCACCGCCCCCCCCGGGTAAGTCCGATTGTGATTCGTATTAAATACCAAGTCACGTGAATTTATCATTGGTGCAAGAGGAAGTGACGTAACAAAGGTTCGCCTGGATCGTCTAAAGGCTTCGCAAACTGCCTGAGAGTCTAGAAGACGTCTGTCGCTTAGGGATAGGCCTTCGTAATGCATAAGCGTCCTGAAGGGATGGGGAAAGGATGAATCAAGCTACTGAAAATAATTTAAGTAACGGCGGAAGGCTGCTTCCGGTTCAGTCTGGTACAAATACGGTACAAGAATATAAATATACTGAATATTTTAATTAACGCAAAACCTTTAATCTAATGAACAAATTGAATTTTCATGACCGTCGATCTTTGCTTGAATCGAATACATTATAATATTTGCACTAGATGCTTTTTATTGCTTTATATTAAATAGACAAATTCGCTGTTGCGCGAAAGTTGCTCGGTAGGAAAATAAAAAGTGCGAATTAATACCGCAAAACTTTTTTCGTCTGTGTATAATTTCGTTTATTGGGTCTTACGTTTCTAACGGACGTAACAAATTTGGATTTTTTTTTTAAATTTCATATAATATATATATACTATACATATCGTATGAAATTTTGCACTTCAAATCAGTCGTGTGTCGCGTCGCAAAAATGATCTTTTTCCACGGGAGTCGTCGAACCTTTTGGAAGCAGGACGGGTGGGGATTTTGCAAAATATTTTTCGACGTCCAACACGAGCAAATTGATTTTTCGAAATAATCGCGTAATTTTTTCTAGCTTCGACGCTACGAGTTATTATTACTTTTGTCAATGAAACTTTGAAGCCTCGGTTATATTTATACGGCGGACTACAGTCGCTTTTTTCTGTCCGATGTAATCCGCGGGTATCACGTGGATCTACCCGAGGCATCCACGTCGTCACACGTAGGGTCCACTTTGAACCCTCATCTTCCCCTGCTGACGAATTCACGGATTACACGATTCTCGTAAACACGCGTCACGTACACGGTTCCGTAAGTAACCGCACCTGAAAGAGATGAAACGAAAAAGTAAAAAGGCTCCGCGCTTTTACCATATTTTTAGGGTGCTTGAGAATCACATCACGACGTCCCCTTTCGAATCCACCTCTAAAGTCTGAAGGTGGCCCGAAGCTTTCTTACGTTTTCATTTCTGAAAGAAAAAAATCTCATCGGCAGGATAACTTATAGAGAGAGAGAGAGAGAGAGAGCGAAAGGGAAGCTTCTTTTAAACCGAATTTCGTTCCGGTCGAATAATTTACTTAAAGAGTTTTTCTACCCGTGAGGCTTTTACTTCCCTTTGGACAATCACGTGCGCCACGGAATCTTCGTATTTTCTTGTTCACACGTGTATTACATGTAAGAATAAAAGATAAACATATCAACACGAGAATTTCCGATGGTTTGAAATTTACTGAAATGACGGTAAAAAGAAAAAAGAAAAGGCAAAGCACATTGTTAAAACGTAGAAACGAAAACGCGTTGGCTGGGCTTCGAATGGAAGGAAGTATAAAGGTTCACACGTGCCGTTACGTCGTGACGCCGTGACGCCGTGACCCGGCGTGACCCGGCGTGGCTGTAGGAGCTGAAATCTTTTCCTTGCCAACTGAAAAGTATCTTTCCCACGCAGTGGAACTGTTTAAGGGACCACTCGACGGCGTCGTCAACTATATGGATTCCGTACGCCTTAGGTATATGGATATGGGTCCTATGGGTCTAAAAGAAATCGTAGGCTTTGAAATTTTATCGGTAGAGCAAAGGATGCTTTTTCGTTATTTGGCCTCAACTGTCGTAAATCATTGGCGCTTCTTTCCTTGATCCCTGTTACCAGCCGTCGAACGTGGCGCTAAGAGTTTTCCGTATAGGAGTCTGAGGATCATTGCAATTAGGAAAACGACGACTGCCACGCATGAGAAAAAAAAGGCGTAAACGTCGATCAAAGCAACCTGCCACCATTCTAGGTCCAGGGCTGGCGACCTCAAGACGTTTCCGTTGCGTATTACGTATTCGACCCAATAGACTGCCAAGTCCAATGGATTTGTTGGACGGTCTTGGAACAGTTTCGAGACCTTCTTCATGTTGTCCCTGCGAGATCAATATTCATTGGTCAGTCATAAGTTCAGATACGTTGCTCGAGTCATCGAGATAAATAAATTGTGGACTGACCTGTACGTGGGATCGTGAAGGATGGTTGAGATAGCTTCGGTCAATATTTTTTGGTCCACGGTAGCATAATCTATTGGAACCGCCAGCTTCTTCCTGGCGCAATGATCAATGTTGATGATCTGATCGCCGAACAGCGGCATGCCGATCAAAGGAACCCCGTAATAAAGAGATTCCTGTACAGAACCAAGACCCCCGTGACTTATGAACGCTTTGATGTTTTTGTGCTCTGAAATGGAAAATTTGCACCGATATAGGTCGAACTGGCGCATCTACTGAAAGATGTGACCTGCTCCCAGTCTGCTGCAACTTCCGGTACAGTCCAACTCACTCAATACTTTGGTCTGTGGGAGCCACGGTAGAATCATAGTGTTCTCAGGAACACCGGCTGGCAGGTCCTCCTTCTTGGCTATCTTCATGAGAATCCTCACGGGAGCGACTTTCCTGAAGGCTTCGTAGAAGACCTCGATGATTTCCCGGGGAAACGTTTCGAATCTCGCCATGGAGCCCAAGGAGAAGAAAATGAATCCATCGTCGGCCTCGTCCAGCCACTTTTTCAAATCCTACAGTCACGAAACGAATCACGAAACGAGTCACGAAACGAATCCAAAATTCGGACTGATCCGTTGGTACGGATCGTCTTTCCGTTACTTCAAGTTTATAGGACAAAAACTTGCCGGTGAAAATTCAAGGCCGTCGTCCCCTTGAAGGTGCAACCCTCCCACCTCCACCACTGCTGGCGTAAGCGGCCGCGGATTGTTGAACGAGAAATGCGAATTCACCAGAATCAGCGAGATGTTCCTTTCCAATTCTCGTACGGTAGGCGCGTCCGGTCCAAAGTGTTTCTTCACTATTTCATTCTGTATCTCCGTGTTTTTCCTAAAACTATATGTCATCATGTTTTCCATGAAAACATTTTTGACTCTCTGCCAAAATGTCATCGGTAGTTGGAAGTCTGAAAATGGCGACGGTACGAATGCCGGATTCGATGGGTTACCCATTGGTTCGTTTAACCATGGAAATAGGACTGACGTGATTATTCCGACAACCGGAACTTTAAGATGATGTCCAAACGCCAAATAGCATTCCGCAGCAAACATCTGAATACGACAACAACAAAAAAAGTACTAAAGCATATCTCCGTTTCTCAAGTCATTGCACCTTAATGCAAACGAAGTACGGTCTAACGAAAACGTAACGATTATCCTATTCATAATTTTAAAAAATAATAACAAAACTTTAACAATCAAAATGATCTTCAAGCACAGACACTTATCGTCTAATCTTCTCAGTGACTGTTAGCACGTTCGCCTAATTGATTTTTGAAAAAAAGTTTCCCAAGGACAGTCCCACTAAAATGATCTCAATCAACGTCCCCTCGCAATGGGATGCAAAAAGATATTATTCGTGCAATGTAAAACTGCCTTAATAAATGGAAGAAGAAGAAAAAACGGTCGAGATTACATCAACTCTATTTTTAAAAATTAATCCAAAATTAACAACGCATATATCCTACCTCATGAATAACCAAATCATAAGGTGGATCTTGCGGTGGATTTCGAATGATCTTCTGAATCTCCGGATGATCCATCAGGCGGCAAATATCCAGTCCAGCTATATTCGTCAGGTATGTCAGGTCGATTGACGAAAACTGTTGAATCACATCGAAAGGCAAATTGTTCACTATTTGCGGGAGTGAACCCGAGATGTTGATATCGGTGTAATTGGCGACCGGTTTCTCCAGTGGAAAATGACTGACAACGTCGACCTGGTGACCTCGAGCTGCCAAGGTCTTCATTAAATAATTACACATAATAAAATGACTTTTTCCATGAAGTGGAAACAATCCCAAAATCCTATAAGCATCTCCACTTGGACATTCACTCAGGAATGTTATTCCAATTAACATTAAAAAATACTGAAACTTCATTTTACACGTGTCTTTAATTCACAATGTCTTAAACGCTTTTTGAACACTGACTTTTTTAATCTTACTCTCGAATATGGTTCCTCATGAAGTTCCTACTTATCACAATTTCTCACATTATTTCCTACAAACGTATATAGCTGACAATACGCATATAGATATAAATCGTGAGCAGTTTGTATTTGTAATAATGTCTTTATAACCACTGCTACCGCACAAATGCTGCGGCTAGTACCGTTGCTCCATGCTTATATAGATGTCTGATAGCCTTTGGCTAGCCTTTGCCTTCGTATCACTGCAGCGATAACTTAGCAGATCCAGCTGCGGCTAATGATATAAAATCTAAGCTATCATTGAAAATTGCACTTTTATCACGTTATGTCTATATTCTGTCTAGGATAAGGTCTTTTTCCTCTTTAATCGAGATCTTATATTTCGATTAAATGAAGTTTGGCGTCCGGTTGGCGGCTATCGTTACGTTGAAGTCTGCGCATGCGCAGTAGTCGCTGTTCACGTTATGACGATGGGTATGCTGGGTATGTTGAAATCTGTACTGTCATGGTTATTGACCCGTCCTTGTTTATCTGCTTAGCGACTGAGTGAGAAAGAACTGCTGCCTCGTGACTTACAGTCAAGCTCAAGATGTACACAAGACGTACGAAGACACTCTGTATAAAAATTCCCTCAGCATCTTGCACAGTTGGCTCAGTAAACGTAACGTGGACTGTACTTGCGTACGTCCAGTTATACGTATATTGCATCATTACAAAAAAGTTTAAAAAAGAAAAAAAAATATTACAGTAATTCTTTCCTGGATGTGACGACGCTTCGTTTTCTTATAAATTATTTTTATTTAATATTATTCTCACACGCCTCTATGAACCAACAACCTAGCTCGATTTTTTCTTTGATACTTTCACTTCTCCCACAGCATTCCAGACTAACGACACTACGTACTTAGTCACCAAATAGATGAGATAAATTGTTGTCAGCAAAGCTAATAAAATCGTGGCGTATACGTCTATTAATTGAATCTGCCACCACGGTACGTTTGCTCCTCTTGCTTTTAATGAATCTCCACCGTTTCGAAGTATATACTCGATCCAATAGATGGACGTATCCATAGCCGACATGGGACGATCTCGAAACTTAATGGATTCGTGTTTGGCAGCTTTCCTAATGAAATGAAAAATTATACTTGTTAATTATTAATGACATTTTTTGTACTTGGTCACGTAGTCGGGATGTTTTTTCTTCTTCTTATCAGTTTAATTACTTATCAGCGCCTGGCTCAGGTTCGTGTGGAAACCCTTGTGGGATCCGTTATCGCATTATCACCGGACGCTACGCACTTACTTGCAAATGGTGATTTAGGTATTTCAACATATTTTAGGTTTTGAGGTGAACCTTGAACGATCAAGGGGTCATGTCGGCCACAAGGGAAATTATATTGCAGCACGACGACTTACCAGTAACTGGGATCATGGAGTACAGCATTCAAAGCTCTCCCGAGGCTTTCGACCGTTATCTCGTTATGGTACAGTGATACGGCCATTTTCTTATCAACGTATGTCACAACATTTAAATATTGATCAGCGAACAATGGAATGCCTACGAGAGGTATGCCGTAGTATTGTGCTTCTTGGAGACTCATCAGACCGCCATGGGTTATGAATGCTTTCGTATTAGGATGCTCTGGATTGGCGAACATTGTAAAGAATTAATTTTTATTTAGAATTAACGTTATTCACTATCAGGTACTTACTTAATATTTGTACTTGGGGCAGCCACGGTAAGATTTTTACATTTTTCGGAAGTCCCTCCGGCAAAGACTCGGCATTGGTTATTTTCATGAGGACGCGAATTGGCGCGATTTTCGAAAAACACGTGTATATCGCAGACAGGGTCGCATTGGGAAAAGTTTCGATATTTATCAGTGAACCCAGAGTGAAGTATACGAGACCTTCTGTACTTTCGTCCAGCCATTTTTGAACTTCCTGAAACAAGAAAGGAAAATTAATTGATTTGATTTTTTTTTTCTTTTTTTTTTTTCACTATTTACCGGCGACGATTTCGACTCCTTGTCCTCCACGTGAAGTCCTGCCACTTCTACGAGGGCCGGTACCACTGGTCTTGCTTCGAATTGACTGTGATGCGTGTTTACCAAGAGTAACGAAAGTATTTTTTCCACCTCGCGTATATCCGGCATATCCGGACTCAAGTATTTCCTCATTAGATCCGTCTGCACTTGCGTTACTTTTTGAAAATTATATTTCGATCGCGGTACGCTCAGGGTGTTTTGTAGTCTACCCCAAAAGTTCAACGGTGCCCTAAGGTGGGAATACGCATCGGGATAAAGTGCCGGTTGAACTGGATTCCCAATCATTTCGGCCATCCAGCTAAATTCCAAGCAAGTGGCCACACCGACTACGGGCAATTTCAATAAATGACCAAATCCCATATAACAGTGGGCGCCGAAAACCTGAATGAAAAATGAAGTAACAGCAAAGAAAAAGAAAAAAAAAAAGAAGAAATCGAACAAATTAAAAAAACATTTTCTCACGTCATTTCACTCACCTCGGTAATAATCAAATCGTATGGCTCGGAATTGGGCAAACTTTTTATAAAATTTTGCATAACATCCGTTCCCAATAATTCGCATACGTCGTTGCCAGCCAAGGTTCCCAATGTCATTGCAATATTACTCTGAAACTTGTCGTCCAAAACTCCAGCAACGGAAAATTGTCCAACGATACCCTTGATTGTTCCGTTCAGATTTACGACAATCGTGTAATTCTCCATCGGTTCAAGAGAAGGATAATGACTTATTATATGAACCTGATGACCCCGTCTGGCCAAACCCTTCATCAGAGCATTGGTCATTATCGCATGGCTCTTTCCATGAAATGGAAAAATTCCCAAAATTCTCGAAGCCTCGCAAAGTGCAATTCGACTAATGAGTACAGTCAGTAATAAAACTTTCCATCGTCTCGCAAACATGCCTCCACCAATAACCGATACTTCTCACGCACTGTAAATAATTCTGACGAAAGTTTTATTTTCATGGGCTATTTATATGACGATTTTATTATTATTTTTCCTTTAATTACAAACAAGAATTTAAGGCAGGATCAAATAGAATAGTTAAACAGGTAACAGGAATCAATTCTGGTTTGTTTTAATTGTATCTATGGACAAATAAAGAACGGATCTACACGGTTCTACGGATATTTCAAGACTAGCGTAACACCAGCGCGACTGTGCATTATAGAATCGTTCGACCTCTGTGAATGTCTGTACAATATAAATAATAGTTCTACCTACAAGGAATATATGGTAATATTAAAAGAAAAAGAAGCGCAAAAGTCATTGAGAATTCATATTGGACTTTTAAAGTTTTCCCACTCCTTTTTAACTATGTATCTTCAGATTAGACAGCAATTAGAATTATAGCATACATTGTGAGTGCGGACTAAACTAAAAGTACAATCATATATAAATATATATATATGTGTTTTCTTGGAACTTGAGAAAAATGTAGTCATTACAAAGTGACAACATCGGATAATGACAAACATAAAACTGAACAACATTCATCGCATGTCTGTCAGACTGTGGCATTACTTGACGACGATTCCTTGCTCGTTCCACTCAGATCCAAATTCCCACTGTTGATTTCATATATTACGATAATGCGTGTCACGATGACTTTTCTTTTCATACGTCATACCCAGGTATCAATAAATTATCTAATCACGATGACAAATTGAAACTCGTACCATATGATTTATCTTTGTAAACATAAATCAGTCAATGTTTCAATGATATGGCCGTTTGAAAGTTCACTTACGAAATAGCTATTTCCTGTCTATTCCACACTGTTCGATAAGTTCTTTCGGATTACGTAAAATCTTGGAATGGGTTGATTGTCACGTAAACATATCGTTTCTTTCGCGTTATCAGGCCTGTACCTTGCGACGGTGTCAAGATAACACGGTTCAATTTTATTAAGGATTATCCTCTCTCTCTAGTCTCTCTCCAATCTATATCTCCATAATACCAAAGAAAACGAGTACCAAGCCAATGTTCTTAACTGGTAGTAAAATCCTAAAATATCTATGTAAATTAAATCCTTTGACTGCCGAGCACTTCGGGCTCGAACGTTCTGAATTTTCAGGAAGCGCCTCGCAGATGCGATCGCCGCGAGTGGGATAATGAGTCCGTAGCAGTTAAGATGTTAGATCTGAAATAATAATAAATCGCGAAGTGATTTTTCGATTCACGGTCACAAGGTGACTCCAGCTACTGATTCAGATGACGTTTATCTTTTCAGCTTCACTTTGAGTCACCATCTGGCTCAGGAGCTCCGCTCTCGGGTTGATTCGTAACTTACGCCAATACTGTCGGAAAGATTTGCTATTGTCGAGTCGTGGTCGAGGTGCTGGAAGTTGCCGTGGAGAGATGCGAGCCAAGAGTTACGTTACCGATTCGCTAAGGAAACGCTCTCGATTTAATTCAAAGGGACGACTCGAGGAAAAGGATAAGAGTTATCGGCTATAAGGATCCCGACTAATCGTAACTATTAGTTCCGGAATTGGACTATTGTCAAAGCCAGTCTGTCTTGGGACACCGATCGGGCTGACTAGAGCTGCTTCGCGCTCCCGTGCTATCTGTTTATACTTTTTCTATCCGTCTTTCCTATCCGGTATCAAAGGTTCCCGCGTTGCTCTCGCAATATCTGGAAAATCCCATAGATTTTCTGCGCGCGTCTCCTGGATGAGGTTCTCGGCCTTCGCGGATCAGCTGAACCAGCTCCGGTGAGGATCCCCAATTTATTAACTGGTGGAGGAATTTCGATTTTATTGCTCCTATTCTCTCAGCTACGTTCTTGATCGCTCTCTCTCTCTCTCTCTCTCCATCCGGCACTCTTTATCTCACGTTTACTTCGACCCTCTCTATCCTCGATCTAGCAGCCTGAACGGCCGTGGGTTTCCGTGACCGTCCGCTCCCGCACGTGCATCCAGTTTCATTTGCTGATTTTACGCAACACCAAAGGTCAGGCCGAAAGTGACGTGGGTTAGTTCTCGAATTTTAAATTTAAATGTCGAGTTAAAAAAAATGTTAAAAATTGTATAGTTAAAAATAGTCGTATTCACCGTTTTCCTATAAAGATTCACTACGCGGGTATCGTAAATCTTCATGCACACAGAAAATCATAGTTCGGCTTATGTTTTTTACTTCTCACTCGTAGGACCACTTCACTCTGCGGTTTTGCACGATGTGTTTTTAAGCTTTGTAAGTGGCTCTATGGCTCTAGTCGTTCGTAGCAAATGTAGGACTTTGACTGCTCGTTCACGAGTCAATAATATTCAGCGACAGTTTTAATGTAAGACAGTCCTTGCTTTGTTGTTAAGGAAAGAAACATTCATTTGCATCGAGGTATATCTTACTAAATTTGAACGACTAATGTGACCACGAAACTGATAAAGATAAATGCTGAGAGATAGTCAAAATAAACAGGAAACATTTGAAGTTAATTTCTACTACAAGCATATCAGTCTCGCTATGGACTCACGCCCTTTATTATTTAAGCGTACAATTATTGACGTCACACCAGAATTTCGACTGAGGCACGCAAAAAAATTCACGACCTCCGTGAGTCCCAGTTATGTCAGACATCAGAATTTGCAGTGTTCGATATTGTACGTGATAAAAAAAAAAATGAAGACTATTGTGTACCGTAAGGATCACTTATTTACTTATTTTTTTTAGAACGCGACGCTCTCTTACTGCCCCTTTTTTTACCGAAAATTAATCTCACTAGAGCACCGACTATCATTATTATCGCGTATACAGTAACTAGGAGAGCCAGTACAAGAGCCACGTAGACATCCAGAAGAGCTTCCTGCCACCATGTTAAATCCAATGCAGGCGATCTCAGTGCTTGGCTGCCGTGTTTTATTATATATTCTACCCAATACACGGCAGTCTCGGCAGGGGTCAAAGGTCGATCGCGGAATTTCTCTGATATGGCGCGTACCGATTTCCTGTAAATCAAGACGTCACATAAAGATCTATATCTATAAAAAGGTTTCAAAAAACTAACTTACAGGTAGACGGGATCGTTCAATATGGCATCTATGGCAGCATCCAGCTTCTCCTCGGTAATAGCTTTGTAATCGAGAAACAGCGCGATCTTCTTCTCTACGTAATTATGAATATTGACGAATTGATCCGCGAAGAGCGGCACGCCGATCATCGGCACTCCGCAGTGAATAGCTTCTTGGGTTCCCATAAGACCGCCATGAGTTATAAAAGCTCGTATATTCTTGTGTTCTGCGGGAAAAATTTAAATTTTACGAAAATATAATATCGATATAAGTTCCCTCTGGCAAGAAGTCCTTGCAGCCCTGTCAGGCAATCTTATCTTGAATTTATTCACAGAAGGACGAACTCACTGAGTACTTTGAGTTGCTGTATCCAAGCTTGCGTGATAACGTTTCCTGGTAAACCGTCTGGCAACTCTTGAGGCTTCGCTATCTTCATGAGGACGCGTACTGGTGCAATTTTACCGAAGGATCTGTAAAGGATCGCCAGCGTCTCCTTTGGCAAAGTCTCGATCCTGACCATTGAGCCAAAAGTGAAATAAATAAAGCCATGTGCACTCTCGTCCAGCCATTTTTGCAAATTCTGTAAATATTGTTGAAAGTGTAAATTTTTGGTTTTTACGTAAAAAAATGAATAATAATAATAATAATAAATAAACTCGCCTACAATACCTCCGGCAACTCTGGTCCGTCGTCTCTGACATGAAGTCCTCCGACTTCTATCAGTCCCGCCGTCACGGGCTTCGCTCCGTTGACGCTGCTGTGCGAATTTGCCAAAATCATCGAGACGCTTCTCTCCAATTCGCGAACCCCCGGCGCATCTTCGCCAAAGTTTTTCCTTATCATGTCGTCCTGGACCCTCGTGTAGTAATTGAACTCGTGATAGCTCCACCAATAGAGAAGAAAATTTTTCATACGCTCCCAATATGAAAGTGGGGGTGTCATCGGGAGTAATTCGAACGGCACGAAAGCAAGATTTCGCGGATTGGCAATCATCTCGTGTCCCCAAGGATACAGTTCCGACGAACTTACGCCAATTATAGGAATCTTCAATTGATGTCCAATAATCATATAGCAATGAGCGCCGAATATCTAGGGGAAAAAAATGTATCACGGACTGATTAAAGTTGATACAGATAACAGGATACTACCTCGGTGATAAAGGCGTCGTAAGGTGGATCGTTTGGTGGATTTTGGACGATTTTCAAAATATCCGGGTGATCTAAATTTTTGCAAATTTGATTTCCTGTCACAGTAGCGATAAACGAAATTATATTCCCCCTAAATTCCTTCTCTACGAAGTCGATCGATATATTGTTGACCAACGTGGGAAAGTCCCACTTTAATTTCACTATGTCTGTGTAATTGGGAAAATTTTCCTTGAGCGGAAAAAGACTCACGACGTCCACCCGGTGTCCCGCGCGGGCTAAACTTTTCGAAAGTTCCTCGAACATCACGAAATGGCTTTTTGCAGTGAATGGAAATATCGCCAGGATTCGAAATCCGTTGCAAGACGTCGCGACGACCGAAGTCAATAAAGGAATAATGAAAATTCGTAAATTCATGATTTTCACAGAAGCCTGATTTCTTTACGAATAATATTCTCATAAATCCTCCCTTCTTTACTTCGCGATCGGAACGAACTTAAACACTTTCTTAGACTGGCTGCTGTCTCTTGTCCGATTACTGTATGTTAGATAATTATATCAGCCCACGACCAATGGTAGCACAGTCACTATACATATACTGATACACAGAAGGTCGAGCTGATCAAAGATATAGTCCATGTGACTTATAACTAGATAAAAATTGTGAAATTCTTCGACTTTATCCATTAAATGGTTAGGCTTCCACAGATGCTTGCAAAATTCAAAGACGACTTTTCTTTTTGATGATCATTTTAATGATTTCGAATATTAATAATTTTTTAGTAATTTTCAGTATTAATGAAATTTACAGAGATTAAGGACGATAGTCTCTCCCCAGGGTCCCTCCTCTAGGACTGTCCGAGATATTACGACTTTAGATGCTAGGAATCCTTACTTTTATTCGTTATTTGTATCCTTTCGGCAAGTCGGCAACTCCAAAGAATCCTGGGCTTCGGCCGCTCGTAGGATTAGATGAGTGTTTTTGAGAAAGTTGGCAGAAGGGAAATTTTGTCCCCGGTAAAGTGGAAAGCAAAAGGCGAGAAGCGAACGAGGGTGAAAATAAATAAGAAATACTAAAGCCAGGACATTCCGTTCCGCGGTACACTGGCAGTTCGGGTAAACACGAGAAGAAAAATGAGAGAATGACAAATTGCGTTGGAAAATAAGAAGAAAAAAAAAACAGGAAAACTTCGTACATCTAATCGTATAGGGAATATTGCGTAAATCCGTATTAAAGTGAAACGGAGAAATGTAGCTACGATTTTACATGAGAATAAATCGAATCGAGGGCGAGGAGCTTTATTTTAAAAGCGTGTTATTAAAAAAATATATACATATATTTGAAGTTCATGAAAACTCTTGGAATGTAATTTCCAATGGCGCGTATAATCTTAAATGGAATTTCATTTCTTTAATAAATGTCGGATAAGGAGAATTAATATTTTGATTGAAATATTTTTGTGAAAATATTTGATCACTTTCGTGCCATTAAATCGCGTTTGGCTCGCGAGATAAAACCATTGCAAAACTTTGAGCGATGCTCACCTCGACAGTAGGCACAGCGAAGCAAAGTGCGCCGGAACGAGCTGAAGTGAGCTGCGCTTTCCTACGTATCCGTAAAACGTAAGAAGCTCGATAGCTCGATAGCTCGATAGCTCGATCGATCTGATCTCGCCAGCTGGAAAACTTGACTCGCGCTACTTCAGCGGGATATACGGGAAAGTATAAGGAAAGCAAAGTAAGATTAAGTGGAAGAGGGTTAAAGAAAATAAAACGCAGTAATGATAAAAGTCTAGGGTGAAATTGCCGAGGAAGAATTAAAGAAAGTGAAGTAAATGCCGAAGGAAAGCCACGCAACCTACGGACACGTATAGCTTGCGTAATAAAAGACTGTACCTTGAAGAATCGTAAAACCGGAAACTCTATCCCCTCGGGATGATATCTATCCAGCGAATGGTCCGGTGGTATACTCTTCCGCTTTTGAAGTATAAATACTTAATAAATTCTACCTTATGACCCCGTGAGACATTTGGACGTAAAATTGGGCAAAGGCAAAACTTATTAAAAGAGATCTTTAAAAAACGCAACTACTTACGGAAACTAGAAAGTAAGAAGTAAGAATATAGAAGTGGGAGGCCATAGCTAATAAAAGGTAAGGCGAAAGTTTTGATACCTGTAATGGTATTTGCATGAGAAGAAACAGAGTATTTTTAGCCGTAAAAATGCAATTACACGAAACAAAGAATGCCGGCACTCTGCTGCTCTATCGCATTGACCGCTGTGTCCGTTTTACGAAAAACTTGTTATTCGTTTAATAACAAAGGGTTTCGCGTGTTCTTCCGTGTTTCCCATATACCCTTCTGACTTTGTGCAGTTCGCCCAAATTCAAAAGTAACAAAGTCAATGAAGACTTACCAACGACGATCGATAAACTTGATTTTGACGTTGCGCAATACACGTAACCCTTGTTTTGTCGTAGAAATTTAATAAAAAATTATTTTTAGACCTCGCTTCAAAGTGTTGGAAAAGAAATATTTTTAAAAATATGTACATTCATCGACAGGCATATTAAGCTTGAGAAAGATTTCTTTACGTACCTCTTTACGGCATTCGATAGTCCGATGATAGATTTCAGATGAATTTTACTACGATGAATTTGTTTTAGTTAAAAAAATAGAATTTTATTATCCTCGATTGAGAAAACTTAAAGATGCAAAAAGTAAAGAGAATGTGCATTAGCTTGTAATTGATTGGTCAAATTAATCCTTCAATAATTCAGATGCTAATTATGTATCGTGGTAGTTTGCCTTAAGTGCTGCTCCACCTATTACTCAGAATCATTCGAGAACATTTAGCAGCACGAAACTTGGCACTCTTGTAAGTTTTCAGATAATTCGATTTTCCAAAAGGCCCAAAGATCGATGCGCGGTCCATAATGTGCGTGACGGCCGTAACTCGCTGTGACTGTTAAATTTATATCAGGAATACTTTTCCTGATGCTCGCCGCTACGTTGGTACAGCTCAGATCTTACAATTAGATCGAGATGTGGAAACGATGTAACAGGCAAATGCGAATGCACCTTGTTGTTATTCTTACGATAAGCTTGCTTTATGAATTTCTAACGTGCTTCTAGCAAATTTCTAGACACTTTGTTATTTGGGTATAAAGACATATGTATAGATGAAAATTGGAAAAAACAATAAATAATATTTGAAATGTATATATATATATATATACACATTAGGAATATATGAGCCGGAATGCCAATATTGGCAAATTCCTGTAATCACATTAAAAAAAAAAAACAATATTTCATAAAAATCTTAAAGGCTCCTTTCGCATGGAAAGAAAGGACAGGGAGATTCACGAAACCTTTTTTAAGTTAGTCATTGTGAAGAAAATACGTGCAGCTTTCTGTATAAACGAATGACACTTATATCTATATCGCAATATTCGAAGCGAGACAATATATTAGTGGAGTTTCATGGAAACTGTCAATCAATATTACAAGAGATTGCGATGCTGCGTAATTGGCAATATTTGTCCATCACGATTTGCCTTTTTACAGTTTTCCGATTTCAGAAAGCAGCCTTTAGCTTCGTTGCAGCAAGAGCTTATATTGGCTTATCGCTCGAGGATAAAAGGGCGTTCACGAGTTGGTAGACTTTTCCCATTAGAGAATAGGCTGGATCAATCAAAGGGCGAATGTCGTGCCAAGAAAAGATAACACTCGGGAACGTGTGAAGCCTCTTCCGGTAAATTTTATTTTTCAAGTTAAGAAAGTAAAATAAATCGACTGTTAAGAAAATGATGAAAAAAGACTTTGTAGATTAGCTTGACAAATTTCAGTGGGTAAAATGAGCTGATTATTTGTATTATTCAGAAATCCACAGCCACCGCGGACGTACTTATAAGTTAATATTTCTATGGAGAAAGTCCCAAGCAAAACTGTAAACTTGACAATTAGAATTATCATGAGTTCGAATCGAATTACGTCAGTTTTAACTTAAACACTATCGCAATCATGTCCGTTGTTGTACTTTATCAGTGGCGAGACTAGATAATATTCCCAAGAGTAGTTATTGTTTATAGAATTCTAATTTCAAGCGCAAAAAGCTTCCTTTACCTTTCCTTATGGGCTGTACCCATAACGGAGGGAACATGTGCCAGTAATTGGTCTTAACAATCAAGGATTGGAAGTTCGACACCAGATGGCGAATGTGCACCTTGCGAGACGGGCCTTATCCAACTGAGCGCGAGGACCTACACAGAGTTTATACACCGAATCCGAGGAGTGTTGGGCGAAATCCGTGTAAATATTAACTGAAGTTTTTACATGAAAACCCGGCATTTGGAAATGCCGCTGGGAGCTGGCCGCGAACCCCGAACCTTTCGGTCGTGAGTCGGCTACCTTATCCACTGGACTATGACCGCCCACGTGCACACAAAATCTGCGCTCCTGTTTACAACTTGGAATACCGAACACAAATTCACCAAGTACAAACGCCAAGTCGTTTTATCGTCCTGGTGACTACCAGCGCCACTAACTTTTCCGGCCTATCCGAGAAGCTCCATCTGGGAAATACTATTCGCGCCCTGACTGTCGGACTTACTGACACGTTCGTAATTAACTAATCAAATAGAAACGTAGTACAGTTGCATCTTCCATTGCGTAATCCTTGTACGTACGATGTGCATAAATACATTGTTATATGTATCAGAGCGAAAGTGTGTGCGACTTCGAGAATTCGAGTCACCGATGATACGTGCGGAATACTGATTTTTCACTCCTGTCTGTATACCTGTATCTATTTATTCATCATCCCTGGAATGCATTTTGAATTCATGAGCCGAATAAAGTTTAAATAAAAAGTTACATCACGTGCTTGGAAAAGCGTCTGTCGTATATTATATTTTGTAATTTAATGAAAGCATCGTTCCGGAAGAACTTTTCAAATATTTTCTTAGTTTCAAGATGGTACGTTATCCTGTTCTTTTCATTGAGGGAGTGTTCACAATTGGGTTGTGCTAGTCGGAAGAATGGTAAAACCTAAGAACTTTGGTTAACCAAGAGTCTGATTTTTTAGTCATTTTGACTTTAATCTTTACAAACTATAATAGATATATTTATTTAATCGTATGATCTTTCAAATTATCATAAGTTGAAGGTTACGGAATAGAAATTTATCACTGGTCTAATTTTAACAACGACCATCATGGCTCTCGCTAATCATAATAAAATTATATCAAACAGGACTAAGTATACATATAAGCTTACAATCTAATAAATTATCGCTCTACCGCATTATCATCGTTATAACGGCCGTACTCACGCAATTCATTACGATTCTTCAAATTTTCTCATTAATTGGTAACAATTCTATTGCCTCTGCAAATGGACTGTCTGTCGTGCTCCAAACGTGACACGTGCTTCTTCTTCGGTGTCTCGAGGCAAAAGGGTTCTGATTTTCTATTCAGTCCCGGACACTATCAACAATCATTGAGATTGGAAATATTATTAACCGCTAATCCTGAATAAATTAAACGACATACATGGGTCATCATCCGGAATACTACAATACCATTAAAGGACTGAATCCTGGCCGAGCTCCAAAGGACTGAACGGCGTACTCGAGAATTGTTACCAATTAATGAGAAAATTTGAAAAATCGTAATGAATTGCGTGAGTACGGCCGTCATACTGATGATAATGCGGTAAAGCCATAATTTATTACATTGTAAGCTTACATGTATATTTAGTCCTGTTTGATATAATTTTATAATGATTAGTGATAGCTGTGATGGTCGTTGTTAAAATTAGACCAGTGATAAATTTCTATTCCGTAACCTTCAACTTATAATAAATGAAAAAGTCATACGATTAAACAAATAAATCTATTATAAAATTTACCATAAATTTGCAATCCTTGGACAACGCCTTTGCACTGTACCTATTGCACGCTGCTAACCCCTTGCACTATTTTGACGAGTCTGACTCGTGATGAAAATTTTAGGCCAAACATGGATGTCACGAGTCTGACTCGTGGTCTTAGTTTTCGACCAAATTATATTATTATAATTAATAAGAATTTGTTTTCATCTTATGTAATGATTTAAGTATTTTTTTAAAGTTTTTCATTCAAATTCATTTGAATTTCACAAGAGTTGCAACGCGTTAAGTAAATGCGGGCACGACTACCTTGCGCTCGGTCGTAAGAATAGGTATAAAGTTTCGACCCGCGCGCTCCACCGCTCGCCGTTCACCGCGACAATCGAGGCAGCCGCGTTTGGCCCGACTTTCCCCGAGGTTCCGAATAGCGCAAGGGGCTGATCCGTGAAAAAATATCAATGCTACGCAACAGCAAAAGTACAAAATTCACTTTGACATCCCGCCCAACGTGGTACACTCTTATTCTCAGATATTAAATGAAATCCTTGTCCCCTGCTGTATGGAATTTGCCTTCGTTGCTCAAAGAAAATTTTTTTTCTTAACAAGGACATCAGAGAAGATCAGAGCTCAATGTGGCAGGGGTTCATTCTAAGAGCGTGTCCATCTCCTAAATAGAAGGAGACAGAATCGTCAGCCCAAAGCCTTAAGATTGCCGTTTGGTCCCCGCGCACCCACATTCTTACCGACAGCTGCAAATACGTCGCCTTTGGGATTGGGGACGTACATACAAGTTGCTTCTCGGAATCACACAAGGAATTCCGTTACAGAATTTAAAAATCAATCATAAGGTGACACGTTCGAAATTTTTAATAATGAAAATCCCTTCGGTACTGAAACACAACAATCGTCTCTTTCACTTTGACTGGCTTTAACATGAATTTCCCTTTTTCCCTTTATTCTCTTGGACAAGGAAAAAACAAAACATGTGAAATATGCAAATTTTAATACATCCCACGTAAGATCAACGTACAGAGTGACAAGATTTTTTAGCGAGGTAGAAAGAGCCAAAAAAATGGAACAAGATTTCGTGTTTTTGAATATTCTATTGTGAGATATTCCAAGGGTGTATCAGGGCGTCGTTCGTTTTTTATTGATTTACAGGCAAGAGATACTGACTGGACCCAACCGATGTTTATCAGAGTGTGAAGCAAATCCGGGTTTACTATGTGAATATTTGATAAGGAATCGACAGACCGGAAATTGATTCGAAGCTACGGGTTCCGTTTTGTTAAAACTCCTACCCGTAAACACACTGTATAAATTACCGAGGGCCAATGAGAAATTCGATAAAGGCCGAAAGCACCTTCAGTTCATGAACCATCGAATTTTCTTACTTCAACAGAATTTCATCGACCAAGCAAGCTCCGTGTCGAACGAAATTTACGCTGCGATCGATCGATCGTCGAATACTGTAGAATATTCAGAAACGATTGCAAAAGCTATTCGTTTCGTTATTTATCTCCGAATTATTATTGTCTAACATGCATCGTCTTTACAATTTGACTCGCCATTGACCAAATGCCCCGTACAACGCTTATTGCACTTTATAAAGTACTGATCAACAATGATGTGTATGTGTCATCTTTATTCTACATACAGTATACATGTGCACATACGCCAGAGTTTCTAAAGCAGTACTTGACACAATTCCAAGATACGAGACAAATTCTCATTACCACAAGAGAAGACACCCTTTCGTAGCACAAAGCAAAACTTTCCTTCAATCCTTCAAGTAACTTATCAAACTTCCACTTAACAAGACAATGCAGTATCAAGTATCTCGGATCAACAACGTGTCCTGATAATATAGAAGATAGATAAAGAAAAATCACTCAACCAGTATGTTTTTACCTAAAAATAATTTTCGAACAAAATACTTTGTCAAATCGAAAAAAAAATTTCTTTATTATTATTTTCAGAGCCATACTGTCCCGGCATATTCGACGGATGGTCTTGTTGGCCAAACACTCCTGCAGGATCCAGTGCAAATGCATCGTGTCCTGATTTCGTGACAGGATTTGACACCTCCTGTAAGTACATTATGTTCCATAAGCAATACGTATCACTGCGCGTGCCGTAAGACAGATTAATTGACTGGACCACCAGTTATCGATTGGATTATCCATTAAGAGTCGCAGTTGCGCGGTTAAGCTTGTTATCAGATAAAAAACAGTATGACCCATAAACGTATCGTTAACCTTTGTATACCCACGCATTGGTTAGACCGACGATTTACGTTTGCCTTGGTCTTTTTTTTTTAAACCGAAAACGTTTTACACATTCCCATCTGATGGTAACGTTAATTTGATGCTGGTATTTTACTAAATAACAAACCAAAATGTCCCTAGCACTTTCGGTCTCACCCGCTGGGTACATGTGTTACACTATTTGACGCGGGTATACGAGGGTCAGTATAGTTCGAACCTGCAAATGATTAACGAGCCGCTTAATCAATACTATACAATTAACCCTTTGCACTCCGTTGTCGCCGTATTTGCGGCATTAAAATGCTAACATTAAATCCACTGTCGCGGCTACGGCGACAGGGTTGTTTTACTGGCTCGGCGCTCTTAACAGCTAGGTAAGCGAAATAGTCTGTGTTTATCTTGTAGTGTTCATGATATGTTTATTATGTTTACATTATAGTAAGTGCTTTATTTAGTTTCTTTTCTCTGCAATTATAACGTTAACTACGCGGCTTCAATGGGTGGTGTTGATCGCGCGGATCAATACGACGCGTATGTATCGTACTGTTTCCTAAGAAAATCTCTTAAGTGGTGGAGGAAAGTGTTCTTCTGGGGAATGGAGATGTCTGCCATAAATGCATAAATTTTATATAAGTGCGTAAAAAAAAAAAAAGCAAGAACGAAAAACCGCTGTCCCATTTGAAGTTCGTCCCAATTGAAGAGATTAGTCGATCAACTCGTAGGTGAGTTCCGCGAAGATCGATCAAGACCTTCCACTTCAACGCATGAAACAAGACTGGACAAAAGACTGCGTATATTGCGAAAAGGCAAGAAAAGAGATTGTCTTGCGTGCTCCAATAGACAGGAAAAAGGACAAAGACGCGAAACTTCGGAACATTGTGATACTTGCCCCGGTAAACCGCGAATGCATATGGGTATTTGATTTCGAAAGATATCATACTTTAAGAAATATTGTAAGCCCTAAAATTTATGTTTTTCTCTTGTGATATAAGTTAGAATATGTTTCTTTATAAAATAGCTGAGAAATAAATGTTTTGTTTTATTGCAACGACTACATTTTTCTTCTACGTCACAGGTATGTACTTGTAACTAATATAGTGCTGGAGTTATTGGTATCCTCTATGAGTTACTAGGCTGGAGCGCACAGGGTTAAGGGATACTCTTCGCTATCGCACCATTCAATGTCAAATATTCATTGAGGTTGTAATTCTTAGTTACAGTTGATTTTTTAAAATTATATTGGACCTTGTTCTTAATATATTTACCTTCGCTGATAACACATGGAATCCATCTTATACGGCTGATACGTGTGTATTTATTCAGCCAGCTAACCTCCGGCCGTTATTCCTTACATAAGGGACACTAAATAATCAGTGCTCTTGAGCTTCGACTGACTTTTAGCTTTCTGCATAATTAATAAACACTTCCAGGGGCTGATTGCGACCCAGCCGTGACCCCTCGGGGAAGAAACTTAATCTCCTTAATATATAGCCTCCCTTTTTCTCAAGGCCAATACACACTGGTTCTCTTTGTGATATACGGTATTACACGCGTAGAACTCGAGTAGAATTTCAACTTGCTAGGTTGGCGATACTGCCTCGTGGAATGTGTCGTGCAATTACATCGAAGAGTCTCGAGAATTTGAATAGATTTTTCATAGTCGACTCCAACAATCATAAATACGACTTGTTGATCGATTTTTTTTTGTTTGAATCTATCGAAAATAACAGAAAAACGTAAATTTGTGAAAAATTCTTGCGACTTGGCTGGACGTCAGATTGTTTCCTCGAAAGATCCTCAGAGCCAGAAGCTGCGACTCGGTAAACATGTTTTCTCGATCCAGATTTTTGAACTGATTATACAGTTAATAGTTCAGGGTTGAATTCGAGGTTAAGGTTCGGGAGATACATTGATCAGAGAAAAGGAACAGTCGTGCCAGATACTTCCAATGGTTGTACCATTATTTATAGACCGTTTGTAATATTAAAGAAATATAAAAGTTTCTCATGGATGAATCTTTCACGAACACGTTCATACGAAAGGCGGATTTTTATATGCAACGTTATTTATTCATTTTCGTAATAGACATTAAGCACGTAACAATCAACGCGATAACGCTATATTTTTATTAAATTCTTAAGACGAATCTTGATAAAAAAATATCCAAGTATCAACGGGAAGACGTTAATATAGATAACTCGTAACTTTACTTAATAGTAAAATTGGAGCGACAAGACTCGGGATTTGAAAAAAAATATATATATTTTTCGCTCCCTGCATTATCACAATGGTTATGACTTTATTGTTTACTTGTGGTGACTATAAAAATATAATATCATTAGAAAGGCACGAGTCCTTATAGTGGCACGTAGCAAAAGGACTGCTTTGTAATACGGAAGCCACGACGCCCAGAAAACGCACAGCAATGCGATCTGTGAGAGCATAATATTCAGTTGTATAATATATATATATATATATATATATATTTTAGAATTTCTTTTTTGAACAATTTCAATCTCTACTTTGTTCAGGTGATCATTCATGAGAGCATAATATTCAGTTGTATAATATATATATATATATATATATATTTTAGAATTTCTTTTTTGAACAATTTCAATCTCTACTTTGTTCAGGTGATCATTCTCTCTCTCTCTCTCTCTCCCTCGTATCTTATAATCAATTATAATCTTAACAATCATTGTATTTAACATTTAATTTCTTTACGACTAATATAACAGAGAATTAAACGAAGGATGACCAGTGTATTCTTATCAAGGTATATAAATCTGTCGGCTTATCTTATACTAAATATTTTCTAGTCATGCATCCAATTGGTATTTTTAATATAAAAGTGATGACTTTCTTCTTTTTCTTTTTTTAACGAAATATAAAAATGAAGTATAAAAAAAATAATGAATATAAAGATAATCGTTTCTTTTGCACTGAAATCGTTTATTCTTCGTCGTCCGAGAGACAATCGCTGTAACCCGTAGAATTTAAATGATTATAAAGAATACTAATAACAGAGGGATGCTTTTTTTCCTTAAGAATCTGAATAATTTTCATATACCTCAAATGAATGCACTTAGATTTAACAATGACTAGCAGTTCGGCTGCCAGTATGCAATTGAAATTATTATCGAGCTTCAACAGTCCTTCTATCACATTGATTGTCAACTCATCATCACTTAACCTAACCTCGAAGATATACGGATTAAGAAAGTCCTTCAAGTAATCCGCTATTCTCACAATCATCTCCGAGGAGAACGTCGACACTAGATCGGTAATTCTATGTGCGAGTTTCTCGCCAAATTCCAAGGGCGTTTTTGAGCCGCCCGCTACAACCGCGCAAACACAATGGACATAGGCCTCGCAATTTTCAAGCGGCGATATGACAGCTGAGATCTCTCGAAGGAAACTCTCAAGAATTTCTCCATCCAACGACCTCCTGGCCCACTCACTCGCCAAATGCCGTAGGAAACTCTGTACCATGTGGTTCATTGGACGGAAATTGCGTTTTTTCGGGTGAGGAACATTCCAGAATTTCTTCACATGCGTTTTCATGTGACCAGACAGAAACTTCATTCTTGACTGAAGTCTATCCTTGCTTCCGTGAACCAGGTAGTTGTATATGGCAAGAGATTGTGCAGCCTGGTAAAGATTCTTGTCGTATGCCTCAAGGAATAGATATTTGGTAAGAATAGACTCTACGACTTCGTCCGGAAGTAGCGTGCAGATCGATGAGCTGATATTTTTGAGTAACGAAGTGACGATGCTGTTCCTGAGTAATGTTGGAAATTTGTCCTCAGCTACGCGCAAGATCAGCTGAATGTATTTCAATGTGTAGTTGTTCGGTATTATTGTTAGCTTGACGAAATCCGCCAGTAGTCGATCGTCCGTTGGCCTCAAATCTGCAACAGTTTCTGCTATCAGCTGCCAAGTTTCCTCGCAGGGATTCTTCGCGAAGAGTTCCTGAATGTTGCCGAAAATGACTTGTCGAATTGATCGATGCGTTTCTTGCTTCCACAAATCACTCAGAAACTCGTGAAGCTCCTTCATGGTGGCTACCATACAGACCAGCCTTATTCCGTGCTTTTTCACAGAGACACGACTGTCCACCATCCCTCTGGCAAAGGAGAGTATGCTGGGACTTGGAGTATGTCGGCAGACATTTATTAAAGCATGAAGACCAAGTTGTAAATAATCGCCGATGCAATATTTCGAGACGATATTCAAAGGAACTGGTGGATTTACCAGCTTGATCGCATCGGCGATATTACGTATAATGCGATAGGCTGTATGTGCCGATTCCTTTTCGATATTCAACGTGGATCCCGTTGGCACCAAAGGCTCGATCACTCTCGTGAACGTTGATCCGTGCAAAAGAATAGCTAACGGCATGATGACCTCGGCATTGTTTTCCTCGAACAATTCTTTCCGACACTGTTGGATAAATTTTATAGGTATTTCTTGGTACCAGCGAATAGCTTTGACAAATGTTATCACTTGCTTCGAGTAATATGACCTTTTTATATTTTGCAAATATTCTTTCCAATGTTTTAATATCTTTTGATGGTCCTTTTTGAGGAGCGTTAACGCTTCACCGGTGGCGACTCCAACAATCTCTTCTTCGTGACCTAGCCAGGATTTGTAAAGATCAGGCTCGTGCTCCTTAATGATTTTTATGATGCGAAAACAGACGTAACCTTGTTTATTATCTTGAAGAACTATACGTTTTATTTCTTCTAATAACCATGGATAACTCTTTAACATTATTTTCTCCATTTTGTTATTCGATCTTGCGTTCCTTGCATTGAAGTCATAAATAGCTTCCAGTAACTTCTCTATGGTATTGTCCCCCTGAGACTTCCACACTTCACTGTTCTGCGGATACTTCTTTGGTATGATTGTCAAAAACATGTCTAGGCATTGTCGCTCGAACTCTGGAAACTTCTCGAATATATTCCACTGTGCTCGGTACACCTTTACCTTTATTTCTGTGAGCAGCTCCATCTTGTCTTCTATTGGAAGTCCGCGAGTCAAATTGTAATGGATTCCTTCGATTATTAGACTAGACATTACATCCGGAGAGAAGAGTAATTCGTCTTTAACGTTTAAGACTGTGATGATCTCGTTAAGAACATTCCAGTGCTCCTCTCCGAGAGATGAGATATTGCGGAGTTCCATGAGATTTGATAAAACGTTGAATCTCAACCATGCATTTTCATTTCTGTGTCTGATGACAAAATATTTAAGTACATCCAGTAGAGCGTCATTGTCGTCGTTGACAGCGCAGGTATAAAATAATTGACTGATCAGACATGCTCGATCCTCAACGACATCAGCTGTGCTGATCTGTGCTTTTATGGCTGGAATTGATTCAGCCACTGGCAGGTAACATACCCAGGAATATTTGAAATCAGTCAAATTGAATGCTGGTGTCTTTCGTAATTTGATTCTTGCTTGCTCGATACGATCCTCAGCTGGAAGGATCCTCAATAGTCTAATTGTTATCAAATCCTTGCACTTCAAAAGATTTTGTCCATATACCTCCTCAAATGTTTCTAATATTAATGGTAACCTTTCGACTTCAGGGTAGTGATCCAAGTATTCAAGAACTTCATTGAACGAGTACTTTTGAATATCTTTTGGCATCAGATTGCGAAACATATTACGGAATTGAGTCTTTGTTAGTTTGGCTGATATTATTTTTAGTGGCAGCATTGGTAAGTACTGAATTGGTTTTTCAATGAGTGTCTCAGTAGCATTTTTGAGAAACATCTCAGCGCACTTATTTCCTAATTTTACTTTGAAAGTATGGTGTTCAAACAGTTCGGTGAAGGCCTTCACATGATTTCTAACAAGTTTTGGTAAGAAGCTTTGGTAATCGCACAGGTTGGGACATTGTAACTTTCTTACAGTGTCATCATTAGCTTTACTAAGCATTAGATATTTTATTACCATATCAGGATGCACTCTGAATAGTATTTCAACTAGTCTGTTGGACAAGATAACATCTTCTTCTACAACTAATGTGTATACAAAATCTGCGTTACAGGATGCTAGTAATGGCATTGCTTGCTCCATTCCATACTGAGCAGAAACAATCTTGAACAATTTCTCCGCCAGTTCATTTTCCTTAGTAAGACACTTAGCCAGAGTTCGTATCATTCTCGCTCTAGTGTTTAGCGATACAAAAGGTAATAGTTCTTTGGCAAAATATTCTTCATTTACAACATCTTTTAAACTTCCATTAAAAAACCATTTTGCTTGAAAGGCTCTATTTATCACATTTAAATCATCGCTCCTAAGAGCAGTAGTTATTCCTTCGTGCTGCTTCAGAATATTAGCAACCTCCACTCTTACAATTGGTTGCAATAGACTAGGTAGTTCGACAGATCCAATAACACTACCAAAATCTCCACCAGCATTAACAACAGCAGCAATACGTCTAGCAGCCAATTTTATCGTCTTATATTTCTCACCAGGTGTTTTCCCCGGCACTGCTTGAATAGCCTCCAGATAAGGCGCCTCGAATTCCATCCTGTTCCAATTTTAGCGGCACGATCTTGAAAAGCCTATTAGTAAACAACTCCACGCGAAGAACCTTCTCACCACAATACGTTAAATATCCAAAAACAAAACTACAGTTCCCTTCTACCACAAATAGCAGCCTGCCGATCCCCTGGGAAGCGATTCCAACTTTGTATTTGACAACTGGCCAATTTAGGTTAAGCACACCGAAAACAACCAAGAAGAATAAGAAAGTTCTACCGCCCGAGCACACTTCCAGCAATAAACGCCGCTGTTATTTGATTCCGTTTTTCATATGTTTTTCGAAAATGTCACTTTTACAAAACCACCAAATTCCCAACTGTCTCTTGTTCTAATTGTAAGCGCGACCCGCTTTAACCTTCGAGACACGCTCTATCACATGTCTGTCTGGTTATGCTAGTCCGCCACCACTGGCAGCATTTCACTGCGCAAGACGCGCTACACACACGGCAGCTTACGAATCTTTTCTTTTTCGTACCACGAATATATATATATTTAACATGCTTTTCTACCTGCGGTTGCAATATATTACAGGGGACGACTTTCACGACGACGTGCTCATGTACCAGGAATTCACATTCCTCTAAGTTAAATTCCAGAAGGACATAAGGAAATCTACTCCGACATTTCTATGCGACGGCAATAGAAAAAACATGGGACAAAGTCACCGTGTATTTTTAAATATTCTGACGCAAAATCTGCCAATCCAATCGTAACCACTAATAACTATATAAAAGTGAATAACAATGACGCATTCAGTGTCGATCATAACATGCTAAGAGTTTTATAACAAGAGAGAACAATGACTTGACAATAGTTTTATTTTTCATTCTTCTTACCCTCGCAACTCTCACGATATTACGTTTCTTGATGAATTTCAGATAAAGCTTTCGCACTTTTTTCTCTTTATTTAAAATTTCTCACCAAATTCTGGGAATCAAGAGTTTCAGGGATTAATAATGAACGTTTGATATTATCTTGCGATAAGAGAAAAATGGACTGCCTGTTCCTTAAACTTGTTTAATATTGCGATCGGTTTTTTTTAAACATGACTAATCGTTTGTTATTCACATATTACAAATCTTTTTCCTTCTATCAGCCCAATTGATTATTCATATCGCCAAGGATTTTAAGGGTACACGATATTATCTAATACCACTTTTAAATATATGCACTGCAGCTACAATACGGATCTCCTTTATTACAAATTTATACGTAAAAATACAGTTACCGCTTTGAGAAGCACGTTCTTCTTTGGTTTTATCAAAAGTGAGCATTACGTCTTGTAACGCCACGTGTGTGCGAAAAGATATGTTGGATTTTTTTCACAGAATGTCTGCGGTGCTTTCAGATACTGAAAAATTCAATTTAAATCGTTGAATCGTAAAACAATATTCTAGAGAATCCTTTTTCCCATATAGGGAATTCTAGATCGTAGATTTTTCGTGCAAAACCCACGAGCCTGATTCCTCTATATACAGGGTTAGTCAGTAGAAACGCACCAGCAGAAGTTGGCCGCAAGTGGCCGACACGGCAGTGTGGCCTCTTCAGAAAATTACATGTGACTGTGACCGATTCCCATAAGCGCAAACTGGCAGTTTGCATAGCAATAAGGTTATTGAAATATTTCAATAGTTAGGTTACTGAAATAATTAATTAATATTGTAATGACAGAATGTAATATCAGTTAAGATTTATTTTCACAAGAGATTGCAATTAAAATAATGTAAAGTTTAAAATATTCACAATTTTGATATTTCCAAGTAATGATCACAACTGCAATTCTGCAATTAATTGAAAAATCATTTAATTGAAATGTTTTTATAGGAAAAAAGTGCAGGAAAAAAATCTGAAGATTTTTTTCCTGCACTTTTTTCCTATAAAAACATTTCAATTAAATGATTTTTCAATTAATTGCAGAATTGCAGTTGTGATCATTACTTGGAAATATCAAAATTGTGAATATTTTAAACTTTACATTATTTTAATTGCAATCTCTTGTGAAAATAAATCTTAACTGATATTACATTCTGTCATTACAATATTAATTAATTATTTCAGTAACATAACTATTGAAATATTTCGAAAACCTTATTGCTATGCGAACTGTCAGTTTGCGCTTATGGGAATCGGTCACAGTCACATGTCATTTTTTGAAGAGGCCACATTGCCGTGTCGGCTACTTGCGGCCAACTTCTGCTGGTGCGTTTCTACTGACTAACCCTGTATATCGTGTGTCTGTGGGCGTGTGCATATAACCTATCCCATAGTTGAGATAAAAAGAAAAGATACGTCTCCCATGAGATATTTGATTTCTCAGAGCAGCCACAACTCTGTGTTTTTCAATTCGGGCTTCGGCACTTCCTGTAGGGAATTTCTCGTATTTCCTATAGCGCTAATATCTACAGGAACTTGATAACCGAATGTGACCACAAATAGCACCAGAAAAGGCCGGAAGTAAGGCGTTAAGAGGAAAGGAGTGTGGAGAATTTATAACCTTAATAGATCGCGTCAAGATTTTTCGTATATTTTCGACAACTTTTTTAAGATTTAATAAGACTTTTAATAAGATTTGTATAATAATAAATATTCAAAAGTACAAAACTCTCTTCTCGTTCCTGCTATTTCTTCGCTACATTCGGATCCGAAATCTCATTATACGAAAAGTGCCAACAGATTTTACGTTTAATGGAAAAAAGATTTTCAGACGCGCGATGCGACCTTCATCGAGGCGAGACAAGAGAGAGAGAGAGAGAGACAACCTCTCCCTTACTACAATTTCTTGCCAAAGAAGAAAAAGAAAAACTTGAAGACGTATTTTCTTTTTCTTCCGAACTCAGTGAAATTTAAACTGCTCCCGCGATTAAGTGTAATATTATAACGCGTAGTCGTTTTACGTGACTTATAATTTGTGTCTTATTTCATTCCACACTAAACGTCTTTCTATGTCAGGATTAATACCCATTTTCAAATCTTCCGTGATTTCCAAATAATGCATTTCAAGTTTCCTTCCTACAGGACGCCAAGTAACAGGTATCAGGTCGCTAGTGACCGGCGTCGGATTTCTGAAACACGTTAAATGTTTCCTTTAGTTCCAGTTGTGGTCTAGTCAGGTCTTTTTTTTCCTAAGAGGAAACAGAATTTCCTGTGACTACAATCCTATCTGTTTCGAACGACTCTAGAAGGAGACGATACAATTTTTGTCTGAATGTTATTAAAGTAGCAATAAATAAATTCCAAATAGCAGGCAGCGGAGCAGTCAGCCAGGAAGTTACGAGAGCAATAGGAAGCGGCCGTGCGAACAGCTGGAAATAAATATTGCAAAATACAATACCCGCTTTTGGCGAAATCGCTCCACATCTGTGTAAAACGCTGAATAACTTTTCGCTCAGTGCTGCCAAACTTCGGAGGCCCGAAGTTAAGCTTCTTCAAGAGTCTCGAATAAAAGAGATAGGGCAGATCATCCGTGTGAGTTGTACCTGAAAAAAAAAAAAAAAAAAAATGAAAAGAAATATCGACGGAGGCTCAAAGACCAATTAAACGTTTGATATGAGCCGTAAAATAGACAAAAAATTTACCAGGCAAATCCAAATTAAATATCATTTTTATCAGAGACTGCCCACTGTCATATGAAAATCTGTAGAGATAGGTCGGACTCTTTCCTACTTCACCTTGAATATCGACTACGTCTTGGATTCCGTTGATAAAATTTACATCTTCCCACATTGCTGCGTATTTTTCAGCATTTTTCCTGCTCACTCTTTCACCTCCATAATAATAATTACGTATTTCCTCAGAAGTCATGCGACCAGCCTTCCTGTCGGTTAGTACACTCGGATGGAGACATTTTTCAAAATCAGCATCAATCTTTTTGAAGGTCGCTTCAGTGAAGCCTGAAATTGGAATGATTGACAGTGACAAATTGTCGATTACTTCGAAGGAATGTCAAATGAAAGAATAAACACTAAGGAATAAGAGTACACTCGTGGTACCTGCAAGTGAGAAGATGCCCTCGTGACTGTTGTATCCTAGGATAAATGGAACCCTTGTACCTATTCGCATAGCGACTGACAGGGGTTTTGACAAAAAAGGATTTTTTGATTTAATATCCATTCCAGGACCAAAAGGTCGTACACTTTGTATTTTTTCCTAATGATAAGGTTCAAGCACGTTAGAAGCATCCGTAGAACGACTGCGTTTAATATATGAATGCTACTTGAGGATACCTCTGGTGTCAGAAGCTTCTGTTGGGCTTTGACAAGTTTGTGAGAATCCACTGTCCTTAGAAATTCCACAACTGTCACAGGATCAAAGGACTTTCTTCCTAGACTGTCGGAAAGTCGATATGCGAATTCATCAGGATTAGCCCAAACTTTTGCCCATGGATTTACAGCAACGCCACTCTGAGATATTGCCTTATGAAACAATCCTAGAAAAAAAAAGTGTACAGTACAAAAAATATTATTTTTAATAAATAATATCCACGCACCATCCGCCAATGGGGAAAGTGTCAAATAATGAACGGATGCGCCTCCAGCACTTTCTCCAAAAATTGTCACGTTATTTGGATCTCCACCAAAACTTTCTATATTATCACGAATCCATACAAGGGCCTGTACCTGGTCCTTCAAACCTTGATTTCCTGGAGCCACCTCGTGATCTAGATTCAGGAAGCCTAAAGTATAACGAAAAAAAAATTATTCTTATTAAAACTCTCTAGACTTATTTTAGATATTAAAAAATATGTATCAAATATACTCTACCGAATGCGCCTAAACGATAATTTATCGTGACGAGAATTATATCGCTTTTGACAAGGTAATCAGGACCGTACAGATCATCGTTTCCAGATCCAGTACTAAATCCACCACCATGTATCCACACCATAACAGGTTTAAGAATTTTATTATCAATAGATTCCGTATATATATTTAAATATAAACAGTCCTCACTACCGATTATAGTACGAGTTATCATATCCTGTTGTGGACAACTAGGTCCGTGTTTCGAAGCGTCCCTGATACCTGACCATGATTCCGGTGGTTCTGGATCCTAAAAGTGTAAACTAACTAATTACTAGAAAAACAATTTCGTCAGTTATATCATCACTCAATCAAACAATTTTACATTTTTCAAACTTATAAAACACTATTACATGTATATAAAACAGTACTTACAATTAGTAATCGTATTAACAATAGCCGTACCATCGACCGGTCATTCGACCGTTTTAGGGCCAAAAATACATTTATAAAAAATGGTCGGTATGGTTAGTGTTAAGTCTAGTTTCAAATATTCCCGCTAGCGTTACTTCACAGTGACGTCATCTACTCCAGCCGCTCTCGTCTAGCGGCCATATTGCCAAGCTACGCGTCACCACGGAACGGAAAATAAGTCTATTATGATACTCACTCGAAATCTAAGATCTCCAACGGGAGGTTTAGCGTATGGAATCCCCTTAAAAGAGTAAAATTGTCCCTCGTCAACATTTTCCTCGATGATTCCACGCAGCCGTCCTTGTTTAATGGATACAATCGGATCCTTCATCCTCGAAGCGTCACCTCCAGCCAGCCGGTTAGTATCTACGTGTAAATAACAAAGGTCGCGTTCAAGAATGTAGTCTGGGTTGTTTCGTAACGGGAAGCGTCGATGCCTCAAGACAGTATTAAATAAAAAATCAATAACATATCTATTCACATTACGTCGCTAAATATAGCTAAGAATATTATTAATTGGCATTTTTATCACTTTATTATCCTCACAACAAGCTGTTATGCGGTGTCAAACTTATTCTACATTGAGAAAAACGTATGTTTTTGATTACTAGAGAAATAGTTAATATTTAGACAACTAACTTCTAGCGACGTTAACAATAATTTTACTGAAATTGACCAAATAAACTCGTATAAGCCGCTCTCAGAATAATGAACCGTCGGTTATCAGGCAAGATCGACCAGTCAGATACCCGTATTCGGAAAAATTCCGAAAATACCAGCGTCTTGGCTAATCTCGTTAGTTAATCCTCTGTTAACTTTGGTTAGACCAGGTCTTATCGGAATGATAAATTTTACCAAAATTCTCATGATTCCTACTAGAATTTGTTGAAGTCCATGTTTATCGTGACCGTCCACGTATCTACTAAAACTATTCCTCCTCTAGTAATAATTTTTATACCTGATACTTGTAGGATTCTGAGTAAATCCTTTAATCGTCTATAAAGTCAGTGTTTCTCTTTTTTCTCAACAAACTGAAATCCACCCTCATCTGTATGCACTGCGGACGGGTTATTGAGATTCGGGATTGGGTCTTACTAACTCACAAGTACTTCTCGGTCTGAGAGACAATAGAATTCAAGATTTTATTGGTACTCTCGAATAACAGTGAAGAGTAGGGACTATAAACTCCTTAGAAATGCAAAGAGGAGTTGACTGCGTTTTTGGCAAAAAAATTCTGAAATCCTTAACCTCTTAACGCAAAAGCTCTAATTAACTCCGGCAATGGGGTATTGGTAGGATAAAAAGCCGTGCGTTAAATTAATCGATATTTTACTAATAATCGAAATGATCTCGAATTCGTTCTACCTGGTATGTGATTATATAACTAACTCTTGTATGATTATATATAAAATAATAGATCATCCCTAAGGATCTAACGTTATTTTAAATTGATCTTCCCTTTCGTGTTAGACGTCTGCTGACGTGTCTTATAGATTATACGAATTTTCCATAGAGTTACGCTTGCGTGAAATTCAAACATTTCCAGAAGGCTACGTCGAAAACTACGCAGATAGCAAATAATCGTCGAGTTGTTTCACGACGCAGCTTGTTACTCCTTTAGTCCTGAAATATTATACTACACTGCTGCTGCTACTATAAATGGAAATGAAGCTTTCAAGAAGGTCGTAAAGCTGGACAGCAATACAGAGTCACATGAAAGTAAGAAATTTTACCCTGGCACTAGTAAAGTTCTGGAAAGTGAATTAAATTAAAGTTATTCTATCAGTCTTGTATATGCTCAATTAAAAGTTCAGAATGGATATTACAGTAACAGATCGTAATATTAATATCCCTTGGAAACGTAGCATCCTCGTATCATAATAAAACAAAAGTTTGAGTCATTTTTTTTACTCTCAACATTCTAGATATTCTCTCAAAGTTTGCAATGCCTGATACTAGATTCGCTAAAGTAACTCACAAAGATATCCTTTTTCGCAAATCGATCTCTCCCGTATCCCATATATTCCTTTTTTCTTTCTCGTGAACTACTTTACCAAACTTAGTTTCTTTCTATTCTTTTCTTCAGTTATTTCTCAGTGCAGCCACCTCGCTCCAGTAGTCCTTCCTGAAATAGAAAATATATCTGCCTAGAGAACTCTCCAGTACTTTGACGTACGCATACGGTTGGCTACCTGGTAACCATTTTACATGTGACTGTCGAGGCTAGAACAGCAGGAGACTTTGTAAGGCGAGTCGATTCTGCGAAACAAGTGGAAACATTCAAAATATTCGTTTTGAAGGAATTCCAGGTAAAAAAATGTAGTATAGAATTTTAATAAATTCAGAGCACAAGGAATTCGAGGGTCACTTAAAATAATACTTTCTCATCCTCGTGACTCCTTTAAGGATCAAACAAATTGACCTATCATTTGTCCAAGAAATGGAAGCGTGCCAAATTCCCCGGAAACTGGCGTGACATGTATACCAGAATGAAGGACGGAAGAAATGGATGAAAATACTCTCAAGCGTGGAATCGTTCCTTGAAAGTTGCCAGGGGCTGAAATTTATATATACTGTGGGCGACTCCAGCTACCGATTCAAATAGCGTTCTCGCTTTCTGGTTCCCTTCGAGTCGCCACCTTACTCAGGAGCTACGATCTCGGAAGATTTTTTATTCTTCGAGTCGAGAGCGAGCTGCTCGAATCTGCCGCAGAGAGATGGCCTCGAGGTATCGAATTACCCGGCGACGTTCTCACGGACCGGCGGAGGTCCAGGTGGTCCAGGCGCCCTGCTGGACAGAGCCAGAGCTAGAGGGCTGTGGAGCGGCCGGAAGTTCGTGCATCCAGTTGCGATTCCTGATTTCACGCAACCCCAAGGATCAGCACCTACGGTTGCGTTTCTCAGTTTTAAGCTATCGCTTTTTATCGTAGATTCCGTCAGAGGTCTCGTTTTGGCGGAGTTGGTACTGGTCCACCTCAACAACTCCCAGGTCATACCGGCTCCTCAGTTTCCGGTGAAAAATGAATTGGCTGGCGTCGCCTGGCATGCGGGTGCTGCACGGACGAAGGATGGACGGCGGAAGGTGACGTAGGTCACCTCTTGGATTTTCGTTATCAATGTCGAGTTAAGAAAATAAGAAATACAGAAGCGTTTGGTACTCTGTAAAATGGAGAACGCACATTGAAATTCAATGAAGGGAAGTGCCTTTAGATGCTCTTGCCCTCAGGTAAAGTTACTATACGATTTAAAAACTACAAAAATATCTAACCCATATTTATAATCCAGTATACTCCATCTAATTTATTAATGGTCAATCCTTTACTAACTAGAAATGCATATCAGGGAGATCCCCTACCGGAAGTGCAAGTGCAAACGACCCGGGCCACCGGCAAACAAGCTGCTTCTGTCTAATCAACTGAGTCTCCGAGTTCTAGAGCAGTTCGTGTTAAACTAATTTCCACGTTGCAATCAGCGATGCATTTTCCCATGGCAAATGGAGGATTAGAATTTGAGAAAAATGAAATTATTCCAGGACGTTTACTACTTTTTTTTTTATTTTTTTATTTCTTTTTTAATTATACCTAATATATAGATTCAATTTTTAAGATGTGCCATATGGTTATTTTCACATTTTCTTATAACTCGCGCAAATCTTAGTATTGGCTACTTAAGAAGTTCGCCTCCACTTTCATCGATACTTCGCACTTACCGTACTGACGATTAATTCAATAGAAGTCAAACTTTACTCTGTGCTTAAGTAATTTCATAATGAGACAAGATAGAAAGTAATTGAGCAACACAAATTGAGTTAAATTGAAAAGGAGGCCTTCTCGATTCCGTCATTGGAAAATTAAAAGATGATTAATCAAGAAAACAAAGATGTAGCTTTAGAAGACTGAATTGACTCACAGTCTACGCGTGAGCATTATTTCATGCTTTTTCAGACCAGACAAAGTTTGCATTATATATAATCCTTGATTATCTAATGAAATCATTAAGGGGGGGCTAAGGTATTAACATTTTTTTTTCATTTTTAAAATTTTTTTTTAATTGAATGCATAATATCTTAAGAATATTGTGTCAAAATTTCAAGTCGATTGGAGCAAAATTGACGAAGTTACGAGTATTTTTATACATGTCCGATTTTAATCCCTACTCGACCCGAGCGCGCTATTGTTACGGAGGATCTTGAAAAACATTATAGGATAATTGATTTTTTATTAGTCTTTTCAACAATTGCTACGCTAGTGAAGTGTGTGAAATGTGACGGAAAAGATGATGGAAAAGATGGATGATTCAGTGTGAGGTAAGTCGATAAAATTTGCTTATGAACGTTTTATACCAGATTTTTTAGTGTTCAAAACTTTAAAGCGTTTTCCCCACAACTCACGTTTTCAAAGTCGGTGTCCCTCATAACTTCAAAACTACTGCACCGATCCTTTTGAAATTTTGAACACTATTTCTGTACATAATTTACGAGGTAACGCTGGAGAGTTTTTTTAAAAATTTGTTAATAATTTTTATTTTACAATAACAAATTAGCCGATTTTTTTCGCCTAAGAATCGCGTTATTCCCTTCAAAAAATGTTCGAAAACAGTGAAAAATTGTAATTTCAAAAAACCCTCCCAGCGTTACCTGGAGAAAACTATTATCTAACGAATGAACTTTGATTTTTTGATTTCAGATGATCCAGCACCAAGTTATGATGGACACCGCAATTCTACTTTTTTCCGAGACACGTCCGAATAATTGCCGCCATTGCCGTATTTTGTAATATTTCTTCGTGAAAATTTTATACAATATTCTTCGAATGTCATACTTTAATGTACTATTGGTTTTAATACAGAGATTTTAACTGTGTCGTCACAAAAAGTTCACAGAAACATGCCTTTTCTCGTACGAATTAACCTTAGCCCCCCTTAACTGAATGGAAACGGAAGTGACGAGGAAGGCTGTCGGGAATGAATAAGATAGTGATTAAAAAGGTACCATGGTATCGCGTCTATACTTTGTCTTCGTTGTCTTCGTGAGATTATCATAAAGTATAATTTTTGGATTCTGACTTTTTTAGATTAAAAATATATAAAACCCACAGAAGTCCATGGGAAGCAGATTTCCATAACGAGCATCGTACAACACCAAAGAGAGACCAGTCACCCCATCGTGTGGATCCATTAAACGATCCAGTCAAGGTTCTAAAGACAAATTAGATTTGTTCCCTGGTAGATCCGAGCAACCTACGACAGGGCAATTAGAGCCCATCAAAGGCAAGGGTTGCTCGAGCAATTTGCGCCCTTCACTTTCATCGCCGAGCAAAACATGTACCTGTGGCATCGACCGATGGACCAATTCTTTGAATTATGGGAACAGATTGAATTAAGAATGACACAAGGAATAAAAAGCAAGTAAAAAACTCCACGACGTCTTTGACAAACAATTAACGTACGTTCGATGTGAAACAAAAGAACCTCAAAATTACTGCACAGTAGGAGCAAGCCCAAAGTAACAAAGTAAGGTAAATTCATTACTCAACGTCATCTATTACGTAATCAAGTAATTAACGTTACTTAATCGCAGGTATTCTTTGTCTTTAATTTTATTTCGCTCAAAGAAGAATAATGGAACGTTGGTAGGGAGTGAAGCGACCTGTTCAAGACAAAAGGCAGGAGTGAACTATACGTGCAGTGAATGGCGCTTCATGAATATCGCAAGATGGATCGATGTCAGCGTCCTGGTATACTTCTTCCTGCTAATACTGGCAGGTTATAATTTCATAAGAAAAAGAAGTTCCACAGAACAGTCGTAGATAATAATACAGAGGCAAAACGTTATAAGTTCTCGGGGGGAGGGGGGTTAGCACAGCCAGACGAATTTCAAGAAGTAATACACAGCTTACCTGCCACAGCGTCATACTAAACGAAATTTACTGTGAGACGTGGTTCGCAATAAAATTTTCTCTCATAAACGTAGCGCCGCGACGGCCAAAGCTCGACGCTTCTGCGAGCCTGAATTATTATACTGTATTATAAGGTATATAACGTGAGATCCATTTTGCGAATTCAAGAAAAATTATTCGCATCCCCCATCACGAATGCGCTTCCTGACAGCGCATAAGGCGAAAATTATTTCCAGTCTGGTATATAACCTTCAATCTTTATAGCCAATGCACGTATCTTTGGTTCCGTCGAATCGCGAAGTTAATCGAAGGATTGATAAATACACGTGGCAAATATCGTGACTGCAAGCGCACGCATTTATCGTGGCAAACAGACGAACTAAGTAAACAGAGAAAGAATCAGCGGATTATTACTGAGCAAACAGTACGAAATAACAAGAAGAGCCTCCATTGCTATACTAGTCATGAAATTGGACTCTGCTTCGAATAATAATATCGCGTGGCCATTGCTCGTTTTACCAATATTCGTTTATCTCTGTCTCTCTTCATTTTCTTCTCTTTTTTATTCTTTCTCCGTCTCTCTATCCCCATCTAACCCCCTATCGGGAAACAATTAGACAGCGGTATGCTTTTAGTCAGGAATTCGATATCTCATTTAGAAATTTGATATCTCGTCTTATAATTTAATTTCCAAAAATGATCCAACTGGGTATATACATACACCCAGTATAGTATAGTATATTTGCTGATGACGTTGAAAAAGTATAATGGATTATTAAGCACTGTCCTTCGACAGCTTTAATGTAATACGTTTAAACTTTCATTGGGATTGCCCCATAACTGATTTAAATCCAAAGCATAAGGTCATACAGTCACGCAAAGCATTTGTGAAAATCCCTGTATCACTTCCACGCGCTGTGACAATATTGACCTGACGCTATAATGATACAGCGGCTACAGTATCATTCGTATTTACCTACCGCGATATTCCTCCTAAAGTACCACATTTCTATCTTGAAAAGCTTTTACACCAAATAATTAAGTAAATTTGAAAAAATATTATCTTTAATTGCGTAATCTACGTCTTTCCTGATACATGCTTCTTATTTAAGCGAATTCCGTATATTTAAACCCATTGCCATTGGTAGTCACGAAATAGCCAACTACCCTCGTTAGATAACATTTACTGGCTAAGCTCCACGAATCATTGCAAAAAAAAAAAAGACGTAGCTACATTGCGTGCCAAGAATTGCGTCACCTATCGTTTCTTCAATTATCATAGTTTATAGTCTAATATTAATAGATATCAATGTAAAGCGTCAAAATCGCACAATCTTTATTACAGACTTTAGTCAGACATAGTTCCACCTCAATGCCATGCGAACATTAATAATTCAAGAGGGTTCCATATTTATTTTAAAATCATCTATACGTATCTGACTAACCTCAATATGTTTATAGCCCGCTATTTATACTGATAACACTTTATGATTTTTTTAGTTTTATCGGAATGGCCCTACGATTCACATTTTTCATCCTCTCAAGTCATGGAACGCGCAGCTGTTATTTCTGCGTATAGAAATTTAAAAAAATATATTGATCTCGGCAAAACATTCTACGATCATACAATAACGAACTTCATTACGCAATATAAGAAACTATGCTAAGCTGTTCGCCAGCTACTATTCAAATCCAAGAAAGCTTCCCACTTTAATTCCACAGGAAGAGCGAATGGAAGGCTTCCAGAAAGCCGGATGCTTAATGAATTCAACATAGCATCCGTTGTTCTCCTCGAGTTGCATTTACGTGACTATACGTTCATTCACGTAAACCGGAAATGCCCTGATGCATTTTAGAGAGAATTTCATGAAAAGTAAATGGCCGCAAGTATTCTCGTGCGAAAACGTTCATTCGCATATATGTATATCTATATTTGACTATGTATGTATATTCGGTATACAATTTAAACCTCAATGATTAATAATTTTTTCAAATTAACTTCCCTCGTCAAATGCCTGTTAATTGTTTTATTCTGTCGTTGACATTTATCTCCGCTTCGAGGAAACTTCTCAGATATGCCACTAACTGACTGAGCAGAAATTTCCAGACATACCCCGTATTACGTGACGCGTTAACAGGTTCACCGGTTAGTAAACCGAAGATAGTCTTCCCTTTAGCAATTTATCAGTAACCTCAAAGGAAACCGAGACATTTACATATATATTTACTACTCGCATACAGATATACTGAAACATGTCGGAGTAAGCGTGTTAGTCAATAATCCTAGTCGTGTTTCTAGTAAACCGATGGAATTTACGATAAAGTCACTCAATAATACATACCAAATGTCTAAGCAAGCAATTAAACGCATTACAATCAGAGAGGAGTGATTAGTTCCCGTGAAAATTTTCTAGTGATATTCTGACCTCTTTACGCTATAAGCATCGGTCTATGTAGCATAATAATCTGACGCGAGAGTACGCGTGTTTCCCGCGAGAGGCGTTGAAATTAAAATGGACGATCGTCAATGAGGAGACGTGAATTATCTCCAAAGGGTCTCGCAAGTATTTCGTCATTCCTGTCAAAGCGAGGAAATTCGGGGACTGAAGAGGTTATGGCGGCGTGTCGTGGAAGAGAAAACTGAAAGAATAAGAGGAAAAGGATAATCGCAAGGAATAATATTGTGTGCGAAAGAACGATATTACGAAGGAGGGTTGAAAACATCCCTATTACAGATAACGACTTTGGCATCTAGACCTTCGTCGAGTGCAAACCTAACCTCACGGTAACGTTCACAACAGAGTAATTGACCATTGCCAACGTGATAGATTATACTGGGTTCCAGGGTAATCGATGGCTCTTGAAAAATGTAAATGGCTTGGTGGGAGTAAGATGTGTATTGGAAAAACAAGAAGAAAACGAAGCAACGACGTAAAAAGGAAGTTTTATTTACAACTTTATGGAGACCTTAAAGCGTATGGAATTTTTTATTTATCAATGCGGACTGCTTTTAGGTGACGAGCTTAATCCAAAATTAGTTTTTTATACGTGGAAGCTTATTTCTGACATGTGAATACCTCGATATTCTTGTCGCCACAAAGTGCCTGTTGCTTTAAGCAATTTTTCACTACGTGATACAAATTGAAAAATAGATTTTTCATCAAGTCAATAAAACGACAAGAAACGGGACGTGTGATTTACTTCCGGAATACGATGCTTCTCAACCAATATTATGTCAGTATGTGGTACATGTGAAAAATCGTATCGCTGTTTCTTGGATGGAATCTTTTTACGTATACATATAGTCGGTTTTCTAAGAAATTTTTTTACTTAGTTTTGACTTTTTACTCAGGAAGCTGAGTGTCGATTTGAAATGGCGAGCAGCGTAACGCGTGTGTGCACTGGCTAATGTGTTTGCTGGGCAAACTGTCTGTGGCAAAGGTCGCATCCGTTAATGCACGAGATGCTGCGTTCGCGTTGCTCGGTGTTAAGTAACACGGAAGGAAATGCAGAAAGAGGTTACGAAGAGGAATACATATTCATGGTGAGAGTTGGGATTTTATTATGTGACAATTTAACATTTTTCAAAGGTTCCGCGTACCGCGTGCATCTTGCCAGTAATTTTATGCCCTGCTAGAGAGAAATATTTAATCCTGAAATTCTTCGAGGATCGATGCGTCTCTCGTCACGTTGAAGGATCTCGTGACATTTTGGCAAAGGACGTTGGCTTGGCTTGTATAGAAATTTTAAACTAGCAAGGGTAAGGGAAAGTGAAAAAAAAAGGAAAAGACGGAGAGCGAGAGAATTACTTTGAAATTCAAATGGTTCCCGTAATACGACGTCTTCTTGTCCCTGTATTCGCAGCTTCCTTCAATTTCGTAACGTTGAGCTCCTGATACTTATTCACCCACAAATTAAAATGTAAATAAGGAAAATTGCTCTCTTGTGGTTCGCCGACTGACAAAACTGATGGAGTCGAGAAAAAAGGAACTATGGTATACAAGAATTCTCTTTAACGAGGAAGTGAAAGAGTTCGAGCCCATCGCGAGAATTCGCAAGAACTTTCTCCAAGCTTTCCACAAGTGGCTACGCGCTCCTGAGGGACTTTATGGCACATTAACCACCGTATACTTTACCATCGACCCTGGACCATACGTTTTTTTTTTAATTTTTTTTCTGGACATCACATTCATCATTCAAATCAGACGACAGCTGCTTTTTTTTAAATATCCTCTACCAAGACTCCACTTTTTACAAAATTAACTTTACACGCTCCTAAGGTTAAACAAGAATAAAATAGGTTGTTTTGTACCGTCGAAGGACAGCGCCTTGTACCAACATTTATGCTTTCAATCGTTGATCATTAAGTTTCTTCTTTTCGTGACCGTCTGCCCAATGTCGTTTTGGCTCGACTGTGTGATAATTGAGATCTAAATGCTCTGCTGTCGGTTTCATTTACGCGTACAGTATATATTATACATGTGAATATGTTAATTTGGTTATATATACAGCATAGTAATCGTGACTGCTTCCTATACGGATGCGGGTATCAGATTAGCAATATTGTTTGACGGTTCTCCCACAAAGGCCTCATACATTAGCGGGCTCTGTCGTTCCCTTAGCAAATACCCGCTTTAACCGTGAACCCGCAACCTTTCATCGGAATTAGTGAGTGGCGCCACTTTAAAAACGCTCTTGTTAAATGTGTACTGAGCATTAAACATTTGTCTTTTACTTTTCAATTATATTTTTACGTACCGCGTTGCCCTTTAGTTTCGCCTAACGAATATTTCTATTTACTGTAAAACTACAGTTATTTCGTTCTGATAAAAAGTTACACGACAAGTGCAAAAACACAGCTGATATCCAGCTGATGAATTCGAAAGACTTGCGAGACATTTTACTAGTTAAGCTTTGCCTTCTTCTTCTTCTTCTTTTTCTCCTCTCTTCTTTCGTTCCCGCTGCCTCTCCTCTCGTCTGTAATAATAGCCAAAGTTTCGCCACGGTTATCACCAGCAACATACAACACCTGTACTGGAATGAAGAAACAAAACATCCACCCCCAACGTAGGGGTAGCGCTAAGCATACAAAAGTTCAGAAGGGATGATCCTGTAGTAAGCCTCTTAAAATGATGCTCCTCTCCTCGTGTCTGTAGGTGAAAATAAAGTTATCCTGGTTGGGATAACGCTTGACGAACACTATAGGAAAAAATGAATAAAAATGAAAAGGGATGATTTTCCAAAACCGTTTAAAACATTAAATGAGGTAACCATCGAACGTGGCGTAAAGATACCATTCTAATTCAGTCCAATTAAGATATCAGTCTAATTAAGAAAAAATAATAATTTTGCCCTTTCTAAGAAGAACCACCCTATGGAATATAAAAATTTGTATTCATAGCAAGGCAAAATATTTTAACACTGAATGAGTCTTAGTAATTATTATATTTAATTATAGAAGACTGGAGATACAAATTCATCCAATTAGCCAGCGAGTTGAATTTGTGTTAATGGGTAACATGGATGCAGAAGCTGAAACTAATCGGTAGGGGTTGGCTCCCTGTAACCGAGAGGGTTCTTGGACTATTAATCTTGATGCAACTGAGAAGGCATATTTGGCTGTATTTCTGAGAAATCAATTAATTTGAATTTCTACAATAATACTTTACCATCTTAACTATTTACAATTGCTGTTAAATTATGGTTGCATTTAATGCCATGGCAATTTACCTCCCACATTTCTTGATCCGTTGTTAGTCGGAATTCTCATTTGCATCCTTAATGCAACCTGTGCAACATTGCCGAGGATCCTCTATCTTCTGTCAACCTATCATCCAGGACGTGTACTCGTGAAGGCTAACCTAACCTAACCTAACCTAGTTACATTAACTTGATCCAGGTAGTCACGATATCGATCAAGCGATTCAATTGAACGTCCAAGGTGTATCTGCCTCCTTAAAGGATAAACAAATTCTTATTCGTCAATATAAATAATTGATTAAAATTCACGAATGTTAAATATTTATCGGGATGTCTCGCCTTATTTTGAAATTTATTAAGTTTCTTGATTTTTACAGTAATGGCTTATAGGGACTGCGAACCTAACGGCACCTGGTTTCGGCATCCGGCATCACATAAGGAATGGAGCAATTACACGACATGCGTGAATTTCGATGATCTGAACGTAAGTATTATTAAAACAGAATATTAAGTTAAGCATAATCTGAGTTTACATAAAATAATATATTTTTCAAAATTATATTATAATTTCGTAAACATTATAAATTATGCAACGACATGAAGCCAAGTCAGCTTTTGCGTATGTAAATATAAATTAACATGGGAATTAAAAAATGCCCCCTTTCCCTACAAGTTTTGGTGTGCCTAATACTCCAGGGAATTGATGAAGTAATCGCGCGAACTGTGAATACCAGGTGTTCAGAAGGTATTCTGATATCCCATGGATTTCGCGTTTCCTTTGAAATTTTCTGTCCGATTAATTCGCACGGTTAGCTACATGTGAACGGGAGAAACGATTGCTACGTCATTTTGGGAATCAACCCTGAGGCATCTCCCCCATACCAACCTCACTTTCCATTATCATTAAACCAAATCAATAATGCGTGTACGTGAAATCACACAAGACTAATAGTCAAAATGAAAAATTCGATCACAAATGAAGTTTTCCAGTAATTTATCAAGGATAAAAAAAATAATTCCTTAACTCATCCGAATATTCCTGGCACCTTCTTCGTAAATCCCACGTATCCAATCAATTTAATTATTTTTTCAACAGGTTCATTCTGACGTGAAAATATCTCCAATTCCTATGCATCTACATCGGTAATGAGTTAAACGGCGTCCAATGGATTTTCAATGCCTTACAGCAAAGCTACTGAAAGGATATGTGGCAGAGCACGAATAGGAATTTCCAAAACGTCTGGATCAGTAGCCTCAGTGAAAGCAAGGAGGCTAAAGAAGCCAGAGTGTCTATAGATGGAGCAGAGGAGTTTCCCTCCAGAACTAAAGGGGTTTTGCCTAGCCAAGCCCCTCTTCTCCTCCTTCTCCTCCCCTCCTCCTCCTCATATGAGTTATGTACGCTCAATATGTCTCGCCACCTTGTGTAACACGCAAGGCTTTCCATATTAATAGGGAAGACTTGGGTCCCTCCCTGGATACCTTGGTGTATAAATGCCACCCTGTAAAGTCAACCCTAAGAAAATGTGTTAGGCATATTTTAATAAATCATCGACTTTCATCACACGGCAATTTACTGTTCATAGTCAAGCAAATAAAGCAAAATTGTTATATGCCTGTTGACACTGTTCTGTGGGAAAAAAGTTGGATATTTATCAAAAAATAAAAGCACATGTGAATATATTCCCATGGTACTTTGAAATTGCTTATACATATTTCAAAAGATTGTATCCTGCCGGGACCGTCCTTCCTGAGAAATCGTTAGCCTCGACAGTGTCATCCATCATCCTGAGAGACCGTTTTCAAAATTATTCGTCAATGTCATTAACATAACATAACCGAAGATTCCGTTCGAATGTGATAAGTGAACGTTATTATTTAACAGGCTTAGATGACAATATTGTTTAAACAATAGTGATTTGTCATTTTTGTTAATAAATTTTTTATCTTTCTCTTTCAGTGGCAGCAGCAACTCAATGTCATCTATGAGACCGGATATACGATATCACTGGTAGCCCTATTGCTATCATTGGCCATTCTCACGTATTTCCGGTAAGTTCAAAGTATCTTGAATCAGCTATCGTAACCTCAAAATCGTCTTATTTTTCCAGTTCTCTAAGATGCGCCAGAATTACTCTTCACATGAATCTCTTTGCCTCGTTTGCAATGAACAATGCTCTCTGGCTGATCTGGTACGGTTTTGTCGTTGCTAATACAGATGTTCCACTGAACAATGGAGTAAGTTGAAAATGAATAATCAACAATGACACTGCTATTTGTTAAATGACTCACGATAATGGGGTAACAGTCACTTGTATTGAATTTCCTGTTACAGTTAGTCTGCCGTCTGCTCCACGTGCTTCTACATTACTTTCTATTGACAAATTACGCCTGGATGCTGTGTGAAGGATTCTATCTCCATACCCTGTTAGTTAGTGCGTTTACCAGTGAACATAAGCTTGTCAAATGGCTGATGTGTTTAGGATGGCCAACGCCAGGCATCATTATCATAATTTATGCCTCGTTGAGGGGTGCCAGTAATGATCCTGCAGATACCCTACAGTAAGTCTAGAATAAGAAAGAAAGAAGAATATCTAGATTATACATTAATAAGATTATTTGCATGTAGCTTTTTTTTTAATTTGCTTTCAAATAATTTTCAAATACCTTCAGTAATTTGTTTCATGACAGTATAGTACTGCACGTTATCAAACCCAATTGACTTGACCTCTTGAATAAATTGTACGAGCCAGAAAATATCCTCCGGGACATCAACTGGACCCTTCCACGCCATTACTGAAACTTGCCGCCATACGACGATGTATTCGAGTCCTATTTGTCGATAAGCGAGGGCGATATTACACGAAACCTGGTCGCTCCGTTCGAGGCATTTTGAAACTATTGACCGATCCCTGTATAAGGTGGACAATGACCACCTGGACAAGTGCATTGCCGTTTAAGCAAGTTTCCCAATGTCCAGCGTACTAGCCGCAGGCTCAGGCTCAAAACTGAGCTTTAACAATTAGATTATTGTGCTCTCCTGTAGGATAACAAGGATTTAGCAGATTCTTGGTTCTGTAGCTTGTACATTTTCTCCAGCGTACAAAGTACCTGGCGAACGTAAACGAAATCTCTTGTGCTATATAAAAAAATCATTTGACCCTAAAATTATTAAATTCGTAAACAGGGGATGATCAATGAGGTTTTTTTCTGCAGGTGCTGGCTCAGTGAGGGTAACTACATGAATGCTCTCTATTATCCTGTTTGCGTATCTACTTTACTCAATCTCCTGTTCCTCTGCAACATCGTCAGAGTGCTCTTAACGAAGCTTAGAGCAGGTCCAGCCATCGGATCAAGGCCATCCCGTTCCATGTTACAAGCTTTCCGGTGAGAAATTACAGGGTGCTACTCCAGTGATGCTTACGCGACCCCTAAACGCAATTTTCCAGGGAATAGGATAATCGTGAGGGATGAGTGCCAAGGGCAAGATGATCTTTTCTCTTTGTTTTCCTTTTTTTTTCTATTTATCATTTCTACCTGCCGAAGGGATCGTTCCGTGGGATCTCGCGAGATACTGCACTACGCTCAGTTTGACTTTTCAGAACAGGGAGGAGTTTTTTTTTTAACGGTGCAGAAAAATCTGTTGGGGGTTTATATTCGATTATATCAAATGGGTTTTTAAGCTCTCTATCTTTTTATCTGCGCAGGGCCACCCTTCTTCTTGTACCACTTTTGGGTCTTCACTATTTGGTCACCCCTTTTCGCCCATCCAAAGGCCACCCTTGGGAACGGGCCTACGACATTCTTTCCGCCATTACGGCTTCCTTTCAGGTAAGTATCGTCTTTACCTTTCGTACGTCTTGTTTTGATTTATCCAATAAATTTCAAGTAGTCTGTATATCCTTATTTTATATTTTAAAAAAATAACGTGTCTTACAGAGAGGGAAAAGTTGAAAATCTTTGGTACGTGCCAATTGGCAATATTTTTAGATTTTAAAACTTTTCCTCTCAAGTTCTTATCCACTACACTCCTGAGAGTCTGGCTTTTAGAGTGTCGATAAAAATACATTGCCAAGAGCCGATTCCCTTCTTTCCTCGAGTTCAGAGTTCAGAGTTCAGAATGGGTACAACCGGCGGCTGGTCGAATCGATTATTGGGCAAAGTGTATTTCTGCTGGTATCTTCAGGTAGAAATCAGGATTTAATGGGCGAGGACAATTAGTGAGTTCAATGACCCAGGAAGGATTTAAACGACGCGACGAGGAAACTGATAATTTTCTTATCGACGCTCCTACGTAATTGTTACTGCACCCTCCGATGCAATCTTCCTCTAATTGTACCCTGCCATCGACCTCTTGACTTTTTGCTCTTTACAAAAAAAAAAAAAGCGTAGTTCACGTTTTCCATATGGACTCTACGGTACGAAGAACTCCTAACTTAACTTTTTTCTCTATACCTTTACAGGGTCTCTGTGTAGCCGTACTCTTTTGTTTCTGCAACGGCGAGGTATGTTTCTTTACAGTATAGCATATTAATAGCTCGAACAAAATCGTACATTAAATTTGTCTTTTCTTTCACGACCACAGGTCATGGCGCAATTCAAACGAAAATGGGAAGGAAGCGCATTTGCTCGAAAACGTGCAAACTCCTGCACAGCCACAACAGTCTCGGTAAGACGAAAATCCACGCACGTAAAGTTGCCTATAATTTTTTTTTTCCAAACTAATGAAAACCACCCTCACGCCAAATAGTCTCCTTGCACTACTCTAGCTCACCAAGTACGTATCAAACACGATCTCTAATAACCTGCAAAAGGGGCTATATACAAAACTAAAGTTCTAACAACCACCGTCGTGGGTGACCCGAGTCATTAGAAGACAGTTTCAAACTTGCCCAACTCGAGCCGTACAGGTAGAACGGTCAATTATGAATCTCACCGCGAGTGCCAGAGAAGGGTCAGCGAGATGTTATTACAAATTACATCTGAAGCAAGTAAAAGGCACGTGATAAAATGTCACATAGATTCAGATACCTAACCTAAAAATATATATTTAATGAAAAATCTACCATAAGATACAATTATAACCCACCTTACCTCAAGCCATTGATTATCCTAACCTCATTGAACCTCTAACTCGAATTAATTATTTTCTTTCCTACTAAAAAATTGCATGACTCAGCACGATGCATGATTCGTCAATGGTGCGATGCGGACTAACCAATAAAAAAACTGCATAGTACTAACTGCTAGAGAATATAAGAAAGCACACACGGCAATCTACAAGCATAGTGCTGTGACGTAACGCAAGATTTGTATATATGTCAGGTGCACCTAGTCTTCTTATCACTAAGCGTTTATCTCTAACCCAACAAAGAGACTGTACCAAACCGATTAACATGATCGTCCGTATCGTGCCAATGGCAGCGCCCGAGTCGAGTCCATTGTGGGATGTTGACTGTTTCAGTTTGTCCGCTCGACCGCAGGTCCGATGGCGGGAGAGGAGAAGGTGTGACTACCAATCGGCAGCGGTGATGGACCCGAAGGAGATCAAAGTATCCGAAAGTCCATCGTCTTTGGGGATAAGCACTACTCGACGCGGCAGTAACAATCGTGCTCAAGTGCTCATGAGACGTAATGATTCCTTCCACGAGTGTAATCAGTATCAGACGCAATGTTGATGAAGGTCCGGAATTACGTGGGCCATTTGTACTTTGATTGAATTGAACGATAGTAATGAAAGAAAATCTTCATTATCATTGCTGCTCTTAGTTTTGGTTAGGCAATCAGTGACGTCCTGCCAAAAAATTATCACTGGGGAGTGACGACATCGTTTCGACCTCATCCGAAGAACAACGTGGATTCAACTGCTTGATCAACGAGCCGCGGGCTGTTAATACGCACAACGATTCTCCTATTTATGATATATTTTAATCCTAACAAAGAGTCTATATCTTGCGTAAAATGCATGTCCGTCAATGAATAATTCAATTGTTTGTGCTCCGGTGATATTTGGGAATCGTTCGATATTCTATGTAATCGTTGCGATACGTGGACGTAGCAGTACTAAGTGTTTTGCTTCTGTTCAGCTCTTTAATTACTTTGCCAAATTCTAATATCAGACTTAACCGTGTTAACAGTAGGAATCCAAAAGTGTAGTGCAGTGTTTATAAATATTGTGTATTAACTCCATAGACTGTAAACTGTCTAGATTATATCCAAAACGCACCCCCTTGTTATACTACTGATAGTCCCAATCTCTATGTTGCATAGTTTGTGTAGACCGGTATACAAAAATGGGCAATAATCTACAAGAAACTCATTCAAAGCGTCTCGTTTATCCTCAGAACTGAACCTTACTAATATTAGTTGCATTAATAATTATCAATCGAAGCCTACATACTCATTTAAAAAATCCTCTCAGCAGTGAAATTTTGCCAAGTACCGAGTATCGTACAGGCTCAATACTCATACAGTAACAGTTTCCCCTAGAGAGAATAGAGTAACCGTCTAGTAAATATAATATAGTAAATACCAATGGGAATCATCAATCTATTCTACATTCTGTTGCAGAATGAGAATTTCCCGTTTAAACATACAAAAATGGCGTGATCCTCGAAAATCTGCATATCAATGTAAGCTTCGATTCGATCGAATACGACGCCATAAGACACCAGTACTTATTGCATGTGAAACACTTTTTAAAAAAAAAAGTATATTTTATTATTCGTTAGATAAAAACTTATAAAAATTTACAGAAACTTCTTTCAAGGATTCTAGTGTACGTACGTCTATTAAAAAATATATTGTTCAATGTCCTGGACATGTTTCTTGCGTCCTCCGTTGTCATATATGAGTCATCTTATCGCGTATATACATAACTATGTACAAATGAATAATTGACTCTCGTGAAAATTAATAACGATTGCTTGCTCACGTCAAATTATGTAGAATATGTGTCTGCAAAATTTATCCGAGAGTGTTGTGCAGTAGTCTCGAGCCTTTTACATAGAATATAATGAGTCACATATGTATATATATATATATATATATATATATATATATGTATATATATATATATATATTAAATGTACATAAGCAACGCTTCAGGATAAACATACGTAACCAGACACATAAGGCGATACGATTTACGTATGTATGTAATTTAAACAGACAACGTGAAAGTGCAATCGCCTGGCGCTGTAAGCTTATTATTTATATAATAGTAAAAATAAACAAGTGGCGTTACATGTAAAATCTTATAATTGACATAAGGGTCACACGAGAGCCGTATTAAATTTAATGCCTGTACGGCGTAGTATTGTTTTAAGCTGGGCTGAGACTCGTCTCTCCTATCCTGGGGAAAATCAATCACTTAACTCATATCATACAAGAAAGAAAAAGAAAAGAAGAAAAGTTATAATATATACTGGTAGAGCTTAGTTTTTATACAGAGATATAAACTATTATATATGAAATATATTTAATATATATAAATATATATATTACATGCCTAAGTCATAATATGTCATAGCGTATACATATATACCTTTCATATCCGTAACTGTACTATATATATTGACTGTTGAAAAATTATAGAAAATTTATCTAACTCGTAAAAACGAGCTTACGCAGTTTTAACTACGTCGTTTCCAGTTCCAGCCGAGATTAAGAGAACCAAAGATCATATAATTGACTGTACCTAATAATAGAAATACTTATGTCTGCGTCTATCCAGTACCTATTCAAGTTAATCCTTGATCGTCCGTAAGTGCGACCAACTTGTATATAGATTAATGCAATTCTTGTATACGGAATGGAGGATGTTTTATTAAAGAATGTAAAATCGAATGTGAAAAGAGAAAAGAAAACAAAGAAAACTGTCCAGTAATTGTTTAACACAATTAACAATGACACAATGTACGAGAATAAAGGTTGTCTTCGATTTCTTGTTTTGCGCAATTTTCACCTGTTTGTATGCCTATGACGGGGTGATGCCGTTAATTATTTTTGTCGACAAGTCTGTGCTTTAGAAAAACTGTGGTATATTTTACAAATTAGTGTGTGTGTATGTGTGTATATAATATAGAGTTCAGGCTACAGAAAATTTAATTGTACGCACTTACAAGCAAATAATACCCGCCTTTATTCTTCCGCGCACGTAATATATCATCGTGTATCGCAACATAATCATAAAAGATGTAAAAATGAGAAAACCAAATAAGAGAGGGGAAAAAGTATTTCTCAAGATCGAACATTAACACTAAACCTACCAGAGCGGTCAAATGACCGCTTTTGAGACTTTAATCAAAATTGTTAAATTCCAGGTTTTTATTTTTCTTGAACTTACTGCACGACTATGCTAAATTCTGTATAAATTACAATCAACTGGAAAAGACTATAATGTTTATTTCAAAAGCGGTCATTTGACAGCCATCGGTAGAAATAGGTATGTATAATATGTCGATAGGTTTAGTGTTAACTGATTTTTCATCTTGTGATTTTTAAAGTTCAACTATGACGTTTTACCGTCGCGAGGGATATAAATTTTCGAAAAGTTATGTTGCTCTGAATATCACTAAATTTCCATATGAGGTTGTCATTCATTTTCTTTTCACTGGCCGTATCACAGTTACTGACGTGAACGATAATAATTATCGCGATCAACATAATTTAATATGAGAACTAAGAAACGAGTGAACAATGAATGAAATATTAAAGTCAATGGCTATCAATATTCATTTGTAGAAAATAGATTTCTTCCATACTGCATATTTTGGCAAATATTTTTTGTATCACCATTCGTGCCTGAGACATTAAAGTTAGGCAACAGCTGCGCAAAAATCATTCTTAAACTTTGAATCATTTGTGTATCAATGAATGTTTCATGATACGTAACTTTCTGATTATGAGGGCCAAAAGACATTGGCTATTCGTGGAAGCGTCAGTGTAATAGCTATACTGGACAAGAGATTCACACTATGATTATCCAAAACTTGTCGGCCGCTAATATGTTTCACTCCCTTGCCAGGACGTTCCACGACCACTCCGTTGTCGTCTAAACCTGAAGTAAATTTGAATAATATGTAGCTGACCATAGGAGGGAGAGAGAGAGAGACGGGCAGGAATAATCGTACAGGAGCTTACCAGAATATTGCAAAGTGGCACCGAGAACAGAATCGAAAATACTGCCTAACAAGCCGCCAAATCCTCCAGCAATAATAAGAGGCCACTGTGGCGGAGCTAGTTGTAAAATAGCAGTGTCAACTGTATACAGTACAGCTACATAGTGAGACAAACCGATAACGAGACCACCTAAGGCAGACACGAGAATTCCTGTCCATGATACTCCTCCGTTGGTTCCTTAAATTAATGAGAGTGCTGTAATTATAAAAAGGATTTATGGTATCTTTAACATCACTAATGGTATTACCACGCGGGACTTTCTTTCTTGACGTTATTAAAAAAGGCTCAGATGTACCAAGCACAGTACCCAACTCTGAGGCCCAAGTGTCGCCGTTGACACAAGCAAAACCTCCTAGAAAAAATTAATTCTCAATTATGTGATCTAGCCTGATCGTAGTATTGATTTATATGTCACAGATTCCTACTGAAGAACCAAGAGTTTAGACAGGACATAAGGATTAATACAAGGATATGTGATCTGGAAAGATAAAGCATATCGTGTGACCTTTGGAAAAGAGAGATAATACCTAAAATTCCCATGGACAACCAAGAGCTTCTGTAATCTTTAACAAAATCGATAGGACGCTCTCCACATCCAACGTCTAACAAATACAAAATTGCCAATTGCGCAGCCATTCCTCCGTTGCATAACACCTGTATCCAATTTCTTTGACCACATTCCTTGAAATCACATGACATTTTTTTCTTTCTGTCAGCTCGAAACTTGGTAGCTTTTGTGGAACTGACAAAGAAAGCTATAAGACATGCCACATGGGCATAACTAGTCAGAGTGATAACAAAACCGATAAACAAACCTACAAACAAATATTCTATTACCAAAATATCTATCGACAAACTGAATATCAACAGAAGTTCATTAATATTACCAAGAACAGCACCACTGAAATCAAGACTCTTTTTCTTGAGACCCCAGCCAGCAAATATTATTGGAATAACAACAGCTGCAAGCCATCTCCATGGTGAAATTACTGGATATCCTAAAATTTATAGGTTACCTATCAAACACATTACAATCTATAAAATAACAAAAAGCTTTACCATCATGAAGATTTTCTTCATCTGGAGTGAAGACGGAATATGTCACATTGACAATCCAAAACAGCATAGAGATCGGTATAGCAAAGGCGCATAATAACACCGGTATCAAAACTGTGGACCTGTTACTATCTGCATTACCACTTAACATTATGTTAAATATCAAAGGATAACTGCAGAATTAATATTATTACTTTATAGGAATACGAAGAGCTACGAAGTACACGTCAGCACTGACATAATTCGTTCCCGGCACGAATATCCCATTAATATTCTCAAGTAATATCCTATACAGCTTCACAGCCTAATGTTACAAGAATTCAAATAGTACTCCTTTCTTCCTTTCCTTATGGTTGTATCCCCAATGGGGGACATGTGCCAGTAACTGGTCCTAATAATCAAGGTTGGAAGTTCGACAATAGATGGCGATGTACCTTGCGAGACGGGCCTTATTCAACTCGGCGTGAGGGGAAGCGTGTGTTTTCTATTGTCGACGCGTCACCTGAACGGAGAAGCTTCGAATCATACCCACGTTCTTGATTGGTTAAGCGTATGTATCAGAGTACTCTAAGCAAACTCCAAACGTGTATAACAACTGAATCACAGTTTTCCCAATTAAACTTTATTATATTATACAGTCGTGTCTATTTTTATGCCGTTGATACGTTCCACAGAAAACAGCATATAAAAAATATAAGTAAAGTAGAAGAAGGAACCCGCAATTTTCATGAACCCTCAAAACCGCATTAAAAAGCCACCTGCAAATGGATTTTACCCATTTAAATTCTATATGTAGATATGCATGTATTCCGCATATAAAGATCGCGAGGCACAGAATACATGGGTATGTCCAGTCTATTGACATATAGTGTGGACTACGCGATCCCTACCTTAGATCCTTTTAAAAAGTGTCCGCTCAAATAAACAAAGACGAAATAAGGTGAAAAGACGGAAAGGAGAACAATTGGCCGC